TAGCTTATGGTTCTCGGTAGTTAAAGAATCATGAGCAGAATTACCCCACGCATGACATGGAGTTCGCAACCATTGTCTTTGTCTTAAAGGCTTGGCGCCACCACCTATATGGTGAATAGTTTGAGGTGTTTTCTGACCACAAAAAGTCTGAAGTATATCTTCACATAGCGAGACCTCAACATGAGGCAACGTAGGTGGATGAAGTTCTTAGAGGACTATGACTTCACTTTGCATTACCTTTCTAGTAAGGCAAATGTAATGGCTGATGCATTTACCCGGAAGTCACGGGGAGTCTTGGCTAGTGTGACTTCCAGGGAGTGGCAGATGCTCGAGACTGTGGGAGAGTTCGGGCAACGTTACATGAGATAGGCTCAGGATACTTTGAGGAGTTTAGTGGCTATATCTTCCCTATTAAGCAGGGTGATTGAGTCACAGGGACAAGACATAGAGTTAGTGTCTATCAGGGGCCGAGTACAGGCAGGTACAAGTGATATTGGTTGGACCATTCACTTAGATGGTAGTCTTCGTTTTAGGGGAAGGATTGTGGTTCCCTAGTTTACGGAGCTGAGAGAGGAGATTATTAGAGAGTTTCATTGCTCTCATTTTGCTGTACATCCAGGTGGCACGGAGATATAACATGATCTTCGTCGCCAATATTATTGGAATGAAATGAAGAGAGACGTTGGAGACTTTGTCAGACGATGTCTCACGTGTCAGCAGGTCAAGGCCGAATATCAGAGACCAGCGGGATTACTCCAACCTTTGGAAGTAGCTGAGTGAAAGTGGAAATATATAACGATAGATTTTGTAACTCACTTGCCGCGGACATCGCTGGGACATGACGCGGTTTGGGTGATAGTAGACCGGCTTACGAAGTTGACACACTTTTTGGCTGTACGGATGACCTTCACACTGGAGAATTTCTGCAGGTTGTATATACAGGAGATTGTCCGGTTACATGGGGTGCCTATATCTATTGTATCGGATCGGGATCCCAGGTTCACGGATTATTTTTAAGAGAGTTTTCAGCGAGTTATGGGGACACGGTTGATGATGAGCACTGTTTTTTATTCCCAAATGGATGGTCAGTTTGAGAAGACTATACAGACGTTAGAGGACATGCTACGTGCATGTGTCCTAGATCCCAAGGGTAGCTAGGAATATCACTTACCTTTGGTAAAATTCGTCTACAGCAATAGTTATCAGGCGAGCATACAAATGACACCCTATGAGACATTTTATAGGAGGCCTTATCGATCTCCGGTATGTTGGACAGAGGTGGGAAAAAGACTCTTTACAAGTCTGAATTTGGTTAGAGACACCTCCGAGAAGGTAGATTTGATACAGAAGCGTCTTCTTATGGCTCAGAGCTGACAGAAGAGCTACGCCGACAATCGGTGGTGACCTCTGGAGTTTGAGGTGGGAGATCATGTCTACTTGAAGATGATGCCTAAAAAAGGAATAGTTAGGTTTGACAAGCAGGAAAAACTGTCACCGAGGTACATCGGGCCTTTCAAGGTACTCGAAAGGGTGGGTACAGTTGTTTACCGATTGACGTTATGATCAAATCTATCAAGTATTCATGCGATATTTCATGTCTTTATGCTCCAAAAATACACCCCGGATCTGACTCATGTGGTGGATTAGGGATAGCTTGTGGTTGATGCTGATGAGATTTTTGAGGAGGGACCGGTGCACATCATGGATAGTTGGGAATAGGTTTTGCGAGGCAAGATCGTGAGGCTAGTTAAGGTGCTGTGGCATCACCGAGGAGTGGAGGAGGCAATATGGGTACGCGAGAACACTATCCGTACCAGTTATCATTTCTTATTCGAGGATGGAGGTACATTACTATAGTCATTTAGTATTATATGACTGTTACATATGAATGTGATTGAATGTGTATGTATGTGTGAATTTTGGGGACGAAATTCTTTTAAGGGGGGAGAATATAAAATCCGAAGAAATTTGAACTTTTTCTAACAAATGACAGAATAGTAATTTGTCATTATTATGCGGGATTAAAATGCATATTCTATAGAGAGCTCGGATGAAGCAATGGACTTCACCGTTAGATTCGTATCGCAAAATTGAGCTGCTATGTCAAATTTTGTCGAATTCTGAGATAATCAGATTTTATACGTTTTTCAAGACGATTGGGTAACGAATGAACTTTTAAAGGTTCCCAAAAATAAAAATTATAAAATTTTATTATAATTGAATAAAAGTTCAAATAAAATTGATTTAAACTAAAATTGAAATTTAATTAAGTCGTTTCGAGTTAAAAATGGACTCAAAAGTGATAAACGAGCGGTACAATATGGACCGCGCAATTAAAAGTATAAATAAGAGCTAAATATCTGAAAAATCAAATATTTCTCACCACTTGGATGACTGTGTTCAGACGTTGAAGGGAGAGAGGAGAGAAATTATTTCTTCAAGGCTTTCTTCTTCGATTCAAGAAGTTCTGTCGGTCAGAAATGTTTGATCTAAGACTTAAAGTTGGTCTACGCGGCGAGGGCTACGCGTACGTACCAAGAACGAGAGATTCCACTGAAGATCCAAGGAGGTGATTTTGGAAAATCAAGGATTTGGGTATTCTTGAAGCTTTTAGTCTTCATTTTACGCTTCAAGAGGTAGAGTTGCTTCTACCTTGGTTTATTTTCTTACCTAGATGTCATATGAAATGGGCAAGGGGAAAACATTGACCTAGGTTCTTAACTAGAGTTATGGATATGTGGATAAAGGGACATGGAATTGGCCTAGGCAAGTTCCTAATTACTTTTGGTATAGGGGATTCACTTGTGAAATTGTGGTAATTTGATAAATGTTGTCATTGTACCTTATGAATGATTTGGATTAATTTATGTGATAACATGAATTATTTGCTTGGGAGGTGTCTAACTAAATGCCTATGTGGAATTTAGTTGTTTATGGTATGAGTTGTATAAAATGCCATGAGTTTTGTTGAGAAAACATAAGTAAAGATATGTTTTTAATATGCTAATCTCATGTTAATTGGTGGTGATTATATGCATTTGATATTAATTGCTATGTTGTGTGTTGAGATTGTTAAATAGCTCATTTGACATACATTACATTTGAGCATGTCATCGGTATTGCAATGGTGCATCATATTGCATTTTGCACGGAAAAATGCATTCATGACCATGGGTAGGGGTGTGTGAGTGCATGGTTGGATTAATTACCATATTTGGTATTTTGATGGGTGGGCTCGAAAAAGTAGGGTTGCATATCTTACTGAGTCGCACGGTTGCATTCATGAAAGCTTGTGTCGGGTATAGCAAGAAGGGATAGATCCCCCCTCGGGTGTAAAACCCGGCTATTGGTTTATACACTTTCGACGGTGTAAGTCTAAAAAAGTGTATCGGTGTATGCAGCCGGTGATGCAACACCAAAAGTCCACTACCCAAATAAAGACACATGGTTTTGATTAAATAAAAGATTCATTAGTTGAGAAACATCCAGAAATGAATTGATTTTATAAACACATGGTTTTGATTGGATAAATGATTCATTTGATGAGAAATATCCAGAAATGAATTAGTTTTAAAAACACTTGGCTTTTATATTCAAAGATGATCATTGGATATATTTCATCAATGACAAGGATTTTTACATTTACATTGGATAGTGTGGAGAGAGCCGGTGAAGGCATGGGTGATGTGCGTGAGTGAGTCTTATCTCATTTCATGACATGACATGATAGATTCTAACATGAATTGAATATTCTTGCATTGGAATGAATATTGGTTAAATGTTGTATATGAATATTGCATATGCACTTAGGTTGGGGAGTAGCCTCTGTAGGAAATTTTTTACTGGGCGTTGGCTCACCCTATACGGGAAACATTTCAGGTGCGGGGTTCGTACCGGGAGAGGACTCGCATTCGGGGCCTCAATAAGGAAAAAGAGCCGACTTGTGGCTTTGGTAGCATATTTTGTGTAATTTTTGTTGAAATAATGTTTTAACATGTAAAAAAATATGCAAATGCTTGTAATAGAACTTTTATAGATCATGTATAATGTAGAAAATGTTATTATACATGTTTGGAATGGTGTTGGAAAGATTTTGAATGAATTGGAAATGAAAAACTGAAGAGGCATAAAATTTTGGGTAAAACCTTCTGGAGGTCACAACAATCTTCCGGAAGGTTAATTCAAATTTTTGGTCTAGCAGGCAAAACCTTCCAGAAAGTTAGTGTAAATTGAATTCCAGTAGACAAAACTTTTCGGAAGGTCTATAAAACTTTTCGAAATAACTTTTCTAGTGAACAAAACCTTCTGGAAGGTTTATGAAAAACCTTCGGAAAGGTTTTTCAAAAATCTGAGATTTTAAAAATGCATTGCCATACTTTTGGGCTATGTGTTCTTTGGTTCCAATGACTCAAATGGATTTTAAATGAGATACATTGAAGTATGTTGAACTTCAATGAGATTAAATGAATTAAAAGAAACATGGATCCACGCATGAGTTGTAATCCTGGTTACAGGGATGTGATAGATGTGATGTCGAATTATGCAACAATTACGAGTATTTTCGCAGATTGACGGGAGGTTAACAGGACCCCCGATTTTAAGGACGTCACACTATAAGTTTAGTATGTGTCTTGAGATGATTTTTAATCAAATTCTTATCATTAACATTTTCATTAACGATCACTCGTAACAAGTATGATATTTTTAATGACAATATAATCAATAACTAATATGGTCCTCTATTAGATCATAGCGGCACAAATCAACATAAAAAGTCTTATTTATGCGTACATACACACATATATGTTTGTGTGTATTTACAAAGTTACCGTGCTATATTCACTAAAATTTTTACTAAAATTTGGATCCAAAATCAATGTGAATTATAGTATCAATACAATTCACAAATTTTCACTAATTATTCAATGACTAACAACGTATTACATTATGTGGGATCCAAAAATTAGTAATATTTTGGTGGGCACAACATTGAGAGAGAGAGAGAGAGAGAGAGAGAGAACATGAAATAACACAATACTATTAATTCAAGTTGCATTGAATTAAAAAGGAACAAAAGGGACCAAACAAGTAAGAAGTCAATACCCGAACCACCACCCTTGCTGGCTGGTGAGGCCACCTTCAAATATTGCTTTAACCTTAACAGGCAGCAAGGATCAAATCTGGTGCGCTCTTGACTTCCCTACACCACCACTGTTCTCAGTTCTCATCATCATCACCTTCATTTAAACCTCTTTACTGACATGTTCCCATCAAACTTACCTGCCAACTACCTCACTTCATTGCACTGTCTTTCTTCTCTTTATTTACCAAAAGGGACACTACAACTACTTTCTAGTTGACAATTCTACCATCTAATTTTCATACTAATTACCCATAACCTCCCCCATCTCTCTCCACCAAACATTAAGAGAGAGACAATGCATTTTTGAAACAATATACCTTGAGGCACAACTAAATTATAGTATTCATGGCTCTCAATTGTAAGGGTAATGTTAGACTGACCGAAAAATTGACCCAATTGTGTGAAGACAATGTAATGATGCTGCTGACTAAGCATAATTTTAGTCGAGTTGAGCTCTCTTATCCTTTCGTCTTAGACAAGTTCTTGACTTCAGAATCAAAATTTTGAATCTTATTTTAAATTTTGACTAAATAAAATTCAATCAAAATTCAAAACTTACCTAATCAGCATCGCAACATTAGCATCACGTCATTTAGTCGCTTGGTTTAGTTCTATTTTCGGTCAGTGTAGCATTACCCCAATTGTAAAGCCAAATCTCCCTTTTGAATCAAAATCCTTGGGGAGAGAGAGAGAGGGAGGTTTTGAGTAATTAGGTTGCGGAGCCTTGGTCAGCTTGCTTAGGTGGTGGTGCACCTGCTGCTGGCTCTGTGGAAGGGCCAATAGTACTCCCATTATCGTTGCAACTGCTAAGGGCGCCATTGATCTGATGCACAGTGTTGCAAAGATGGTTGTTAATGGCGGTGACGCTCGAAAGATTGAGCTTTGCAGTTGGGATTGTGCTGGCCAGAACTTGCAGGCCTACAGTGAGGAGACAACCCGAGTCGACGGAGTGCAAATAACCCACGTCGGTGGGGCTAACGTCGACAGTTATGTTGCCGTTGAGATTATTGGGGTGTTCCATGGGAACTATGACGAATCCTAAGGGGAGGAGAGGAATGCAGGAGGGATCGCCGCCACTCATTGCCACCTGGATAGCGTCGACATCCACGGTGGTGTAGACGACTAGACTGCCGGAGTCGTCGGTGCTGCTCTCCTGTAGCATGAGCTCTACGTTCTGAGATGAGTTGCTTGCTACCTGCATACAGAAATATGAATGTTGGTTGGCCCTTCCAAACTTCTGGGCTTTCACTGTGTTATGTGTTTGTGTGTGTCATTTTAGACATAAATTGCATAGCTTTGTGAACCAAAATCAAAATACAATTACAACATTGAAAATTAGGGTTAATAGCACTTTTTAATCCACTAAACTAGGGTTAATAGATAGATTGTCAAGTTTTTTTGACGAAAGTAACCACGGGTCTTTTTTTAGATGGTATCATACATAACACGTGATCATTCCGTCAAAAATTTGATTGTGGTAGAAACTAAATTGACAAAAGAATTCCNATAAATTGCATAGCTTTGTGAACCAAAATCAAAATACAATTACAACATTGAAAATTAAGGTTAATAGCACTTTTTAATCCATTAAACTAGGGTTAATAGATGGATTGTCAAGTTTTTTTGACGAAAGTAACCACGGGTCTTTTTTTAAATGGTATCATACATAACACGTGATCATTCCGTCAAAAATTTGACGGTGGTAGAAACTAAAGTGACAAAAGAATTCTTATGTTGATAGTATTACTGTACTCCTCATATCTCTCTTGTGATGAGTATAACTCTCTATGTACCTTGGGGTATGTCTTGAGATATTTTGTGTGCCCAAATATTTTTAATCAATGAAAACCATTTTGGCCAATAAAAAAAAAATGAAGAAAAANGTTGATAGTATTACTGTACTCCTCATATCTCTCTTGTGATGAGTATAACTCTCTATGTACCTTGGGGTATGTCTTGAGATATTTTGTGTGCCCAAATATTTTTTATCAATGAAAACCATTTTGGCCAATAAAAAAAAAAAATGAAGAAAATCAATTAAATTAGTTTAGTGAACTAGCAAAAACTTACATTTATGCGAAGAAGAGAGATGCAGTTTCCTGGATGAGAGCCATTTGCTATATGAGCCACCTCATGTAATGAATTCCCATTTGAAAGAACATCCAGCTGCAACATATATACAAATAGTTAATTAGATATATCTCACCTAAATAAGTGGATTTGGAGTTTGTAATATTAAATGAATTATATAATTTTTTTTGGTTAAATAGTATGTAATGACAAATATAGTGGCATGGATTGAAGAAAATCAAGAAAAACGAGATTGAAGATCAAATCACATCAATCAAGGTAAAAGATTGTAATCCATGTAAGAATCCCTCATTTGGGTTAGTTGTAATCAAGACAATATAATCAATCAAATACCGTCTTCTTGTGAAATTCTTCAAATAATAAAGAACTATATATAATTCATACGGACCTGAGCTCTGCGCCTTTCATCCCTCAAGAGATCGAAGACCTGGTAGTGAGGATAGGGCAGCCAAGTAGTGGATACAGCGGTGAGGATTAAGCCATTGGGTTGGCCAGGCTCCATCACTTTCCTTGTGGTTATTCTAACAGTGTCATCAGCAGAATCAGAGAGGGCTGTCCATGACTGGCCATGGGAAGCACTTATATTTACGCAGAATGTTCTTATCATCCTCTGGGCCAAGTTCATCAGGTTTTTTCTTGCTTCTGGGGATGGTATCACTGTACAGTCCCATGTCATAAATTAATACTATCATGCAGTCTCAAGATAAAGCAAAACCGTAATTGATTTGTACTATACTTCGTAGTGTATCAAATCTTACTAATTAAATAAAAAAAAAAAAAAGAAGGCAAAACCAATGGATATATCCCACTAGAAAAAGTTAACGGGACTAATTGATCCAATAGTCTACAATGATTTTGGTAAACATTAGATAGTATCGGATTGGACAAAGTTATTTATTCCATACCCATGCATCTGGGCATTGGATTAATTATAGAGATAATACCACCTTATTTATATTTGATTCAATTATTAAAAAATAGTAGATATCTCGTCCAATTCTTTGTTTGAATGGAGTAAGTGAGAGAGAAGAAAGAGTAAGCACCTCCGAGATCAGATATATTTCTGGCCATAAGGCTTGCCAGTCTCTCACATTGCCGCTGTAGGACCGCTAACCAGCGTCGTGCTNCATCTGGGCATTGGATTAATTATAGAGATAATACCACCTTATTTATATTTGATTCAAGTATTAAAAAATAGTAGATATCTCGTCTAATTCTTTGTTTGAATGGAGCAAGGGAGAGAGAAGAAAGAGTAAGCACCTCCAAGATCAGATATATTTCTGGCCATAAGGCTTGCCAGTCTCTCACATTGCCGCTGTAGGACCGCTAACCAGCGTCGTGCTCCAAACGCCATACCACTATTCACAAACTCATTAAATACCTGATGAACTGGTTTTTCCTCTACCTCTGCATGTTCTACCCATGTAACCTGCATTAATAAGGCCAATGAAATCAGTAATCAGACCATTTTGACATCTTTTCCAATATAGAACAATCAGATTTGGGGAGAGAGCGACTAAAAAGTCATCTTTCTTCAGACTTTTGGAATATTTAATTAGCTCCGTTCGATCAAAAGTTATCATATATCCCATAACAATAAATGCACCTCAAAATCCAACCACCTGATGGGTATATTTTTATGCGTCAAGATGGGTGGGATAGGATGGGATGGGATGAGATGAGGATGGTTGGAAATTCTGTGCATCGCAGGGATACAAGTAACACATAGATATTCTATTCACGCACGTACTAGATTTGTCACACCTCATAAACTTATTAATTAGAATCCACATAACAACAAAAAAAAAATATACCAAGAAATTAAAATATGAGAAGATAGCAATAAAGTTGGATAATAAGACATCACCCTTGAGTATCCATTGGGCATATCTTGAATGATGCAGCCAGATGGCCGTTTCTTGTATCTAGGAAAGGAAGGTGAATTGTTCTCATGGAAGCTATCAAGAGGGAAATCAACAATTGCCCAAGTTCCCTCCTCTACATTCTGCTGGCAATACCTGAGGAAATGAGCCTCTCTTGTGGACACCAAAGGTGAAAGAACATGCAGTTCAGCATGCATCTGTGAAGGATTAAAAAACGCACACAATAAATAAGAACTATCTCAAAAAACAAATAGTAACATCTGATCTTGAATAGCTTTCCAAAGGATAGAAAATAATAATATTATTTGAATCTAATTTGTTGATCTAATCCGTCAATTTGAATTGGTTGGGGGTCCAAACAAATACTGGAGTTTATTGTCAATCTAATGTCTATTAATGATTAGATCATCAAAATAAATCAATAAATTATGTACAAGTAGCATTGATCGGCTGGAAAATTCATTTAAAACTTATGTAGATTATACGAAGGAGTCTGCTCACCAGGTAAAGGGAACCACTGGCATGTCCAGAAACACCTGAGCTTACTATTTGCAGAGTTTTTGCTCTAGAAACAATGGAAGGGAACAGTTCCATCCATTTATCCTGCAATGAAGGTAAAAAGATAATGATATCATTCACACTTTGTAGTGAGCTTTTTGAACTATACTACTTCTAGTTCCTCCTCACACAAACTAGATTATGGGAAACACAAGTTAGTTTTTCTAGAAAAAAAATTCTGACAAAGTGATAGATGACATAGTTCATTGGACTTGTCTAATTTTTTATTGTTGATACGCCATATGGAACTGTCATATGATGTGTTAAACCCACACAATTCTCCACGTTGTAAGACTGGTAGTTACCTAAGTATCTTGGTTACGTAGTTTTATCTTCTAGACTGGTGAGTTTGTTAAATTTTTAATGGTTAGGATCATGCCACATTAGGTGATACAAGTCACATGGTGCATAAACGTGGTGTTCACATCATTATTGTCAGGCAACCACAGTAGGTATCCAACTTTAGGTTAGCCTAACTGTAGAAAACTTTAGATCATCCTAACAAATTATTTCAAACTAATTGCAAGAGTTTCTAATAACACATCTGAGACAAAGGGGACTTACTGCATCTAGGAAAGCATCAACCAGAGTGATACTATTCATTATAACAACAGCACTGTCCCTGCTGGCTTCTGTCATGAACTCATTTGGATGTTGCTTGAGGCTCATCGGCCATGGAAACATACGACCATACTCATCAACGTTAAGCACATCCTTACCGGTGTCATTTCTTCGCATCCAAAGAGGATCACCTGCCTGACACATCTTCACCAGTTCATCTACAGACGACATGGCCATGTCCAGTGCAAGAGATTTCTCGTCTTCCGATATGAGACAACCAGCAGGGAGGTGGGAATTATCCGGTATTAAAGGGAGAGACATCATGTCAGTGCAGTTAGGAATAGGCTCCTGGAAATGCCTTGGGTAGATGCTCATATCCAAGTCCAAGGAGGGAGGGAAAAGTGGAGGACCCTGTCCGATTGATTGGATCGTCCGGCCGTTGTATCGTGAAGTGAGACAACAAACACGTTCAAGCTGTAGAAACATTCGAAGTGTGAAAAACCTCAGTGAATTCCAGAAGTCATATTTGAGTTCATTCTATGACCTTTTGTTTAACACATTTAGCGTACTCCCACATTTCATGGCATTTGAATGCAATGTGCCTTTGTTCTCCATTTTCCCCCTTTGCCATAGGCAAAGGTCTTTGCCTGTTGCCTGAATGTCTAAACAGACTAAACCAAGCCATATGATACTAAGAAAGAATGTTTAAACCATTTTCAATTTAAAAGCCTCCCATAACATGTTTCATGGCAAGATTACTTACATGTGATTCTTTTCAAATTTTGCGAAACCTCATCACTTGGACCGTGATTATGACTAATTAGATTATTATAAAGTCAACTCAATTACAAAAAAGTAATGCTACTTGAATTTAAAGTATTAATATGATTTGTTGATCTTACTAATTATTGTTATTAATTTATCTGTGAATCTCAATATTTGTAGTAATCTAATATTAATTCTATGATTATGATTCATTAAATCAATAAATTAGGCTAGCATTTTAAGTCCAAATAATTTTTTCCATTACAAAATGTGCATGATACAAAATAGTAATGCTACTTAGAACCTAATTTCAGGACTCGTTCTCTTGCCTTGTTGGACGTTGGCTTTTAATATTGAATNTAAATCAATAAATTAGGCTAGCATTTTAAGTCCAAATAATTTTTTCCATTACAAAATAGTAATGCTACTTAGAACCTAATTTCAGGACTCGTTCTCTTGCCTTGTTGGACGTTGGCTTTTAATATTGAACAAAACTCTCGATCAAGCCAATAACAACAATGCATTACATCTACCTCCCAAAAAAACAATGCATTACATCTCTATATTAAGTCTAACTAGCATCATGGAACCAATAGTCCCAGCTCTCATCAGTAAGAATATGTCAAATACAACATTACCTCCTCTTTAAGTCGAGCATTTTCGAGGCGTAGTTGCTGCTCATCAAGTCCCATCTCCCCCAACATGGCCGGACCTCCACAATTAGGGCACATAATACTGCGCAACGCTGCTTGCAGCCGATAATTCTCATTCTTCAAATTCTCATTCTCTGCTCTAAGTATAACATTGTCTGACCGGTCTTGTTGTGCCTATTACATTAACTTAACAACATTAGAATCAAAAGTACGAATTAAACCCTTATCCTAGGCTCACAAGCGCATTTATATATTCTTGATGGAAAATGAACAAACAGCCTCTTTAAGTGTTAAACTTCATTCATGACCCTAAACCAAAATGGTATTGCATTAAAGTTGTGTTCCCTTTGGAAAGCTCATGTTGCAGGAGCAAGGTAGGGCGGACTGCACCCAATGCGGATATTAATTGAAATGCAGAGTCTGAAAGCAATCCGAAGTTAATGAGATGTTCTTCACTTCTAGAGTGGGTGTAACTGGTGGCGTACGTTTTCAAAGCCTGTTTTAGGGTTTACAGTTTTGACGCATGTAATAAACACGTCTTTTTGGGAAATGTGCTCTGGCTTGTATAGTTGTATGTGATCCAACAGCCTGGCAAATTTTAGGGTTACCATGAAAATGAAAGCTCCAGAGAGAGAGAGAGAGAGAGAGAAGGGGGGGGGGAATGAGTGGTGGATGCTAACTTGCGCACCTTCATTTGGGTTCTTCGGTTCTGGAACCAGAACTTGACTTGTCGGGGTTTGAGCCCTAGGTCTTGGCTTAGTTTCATCCTTTGCTTGTCATCTGGGTGTGGACATTCCTTAAACAGCCTGTAAAATGATCATGAATTTACATGCATTCTTGAAAAAGTTGAGGCTTTGAGTTAACAGTTCTTTAAAATTATGAGCTGGAAAACAGTTCACGATTAGCGACATTTAGTGCATAATGAGTTTGTTTGTTTAACATCAATGGCAAGTATTGAAGATTCACAGAGAGAGAGAGATGGATCTGCAAGGTGCAGGTCTTGTTTAGTTGTTTAAGAAGGATATCAAATGGTGTAAGTCTCTCAAATCTCTATAAGATTTTAATTTTGAGGGTGAGACGGACAAAAGGGTTTAATGGGTTTCATGAAAGAAGGATAGCAGGCAATGAATGAACTAAACATGGTAAATATTCTAAACTCTAAAGACTCTCTGAGAGAGAGAGAGAGAGAGAGAGAGAGAGAATTATACGATTCCATTTCTTGGATTTGACGAGCAGTGTGCCTGTGGTAACGTTTCTTCTTGGGCTGTTGCTCAGTCTCTTGCTCATTACCCGACACTCCTTCTATGTGATCGCTACCGGAACCGCTCTCCATCTCCTCCTTCCCTCTCACTACCCCAGTTTCTTCTTTCTGTAACACAGACCACCCATTAATTTTTGAGTTGAACAAAATATATACAAATATACATATACAGATACACGCACATATACGTGTATACAGACACAGATCAAGAGAGAGAGAGAGAGAGTGCGTGTCTGTTCAGGGANCAGATACACGCACATATACGTGTATACAGACACAGATCAAGAGAGAGAGAGAGAGAGAGAGAGAGAGAGAGAGAGTGCGTGTCTGTTCAGGGGTTTGGAAGGGGACTTACAGGAATAATTGGAGGAAAAACATTGAAAGGCAGGTTAGCCATGAAGTTGAAGTTAGGGTGGCTCTCCATCGGTGAAGAAAAGAGGGAATCTGAAGAAACAACATTTCCGCCCATTGAGGACAGTACTTGGCAATCTCCAAACATTTTCTATTTTAAAACCCTCTCTAAATTAGAGCTTTAAGACTAGGGTTTCGTTATGATCTTCGATTCTTCGATTCACTTCAACTAGTCCTGTAAAAATGAAAATCACAACAAAAAATGTGACTTTGTTCATAGCCCAAGAAGTTCACATGAAAAGAAAGAAAGATAGAAGGCAAAAGTATAGAAAACCTCTGATTAAACAAGAAAAAAAGGGGAAAAAAAGAAGAAGGGTTGAACATGCAGAGATTGGTGTAGAATGAGGTGACTTGTATGTGCATCAAAAAGCTTGTCTTCACATTCAAGGGAAGACATTCAAAGTCTTGTGCTGAGTCCCAAAATCACCATGAAAGTTGGAAAAGATTAAAAAGAAACAAGAAGCAAAGAAGAAATTAAATGAAATTGGGAAAAAGGGTAGAGAGAGAAGAACGAGTGAGAGTAAATACCAGTGTCGGTGTGTTGAGGGTAATGGAGATCAAACATAAAGACTTCTTCTTTATGCCCTCTTCAGAATTCTTTGTTCTCTCTCTCTCTCTCTCTCATACACACAGGAGTAGTAATCTACCGGACGAGAAGGGTGTAAATGCGAGCTTTAACTACGCTAAAATGAAACTGATCAAACGCCTCAAAACGGCAAAACTCATCTGCTTGGTTTGAACATGTGGCTAAAATTGAGAGGAGGAAAAGACCGTTTGGCTTTAGAATCCCCACATACAACAAAAAGTCAAACTTTCTCTCTTCTCTTCAGTTCATTTTCAACTCGTCTACTTCTTCTTCTTCTGAAACGCTTGCCTTTTTCGCGCGTGTATTACAAATATTCTATAAGCTAAGTCAAGATTTCATCTTTTTTTGTAAAGCTGGTCAGCATGTCATGTTGATCTTCTTGGGTTTTTTTTATTCATAGGGAAGAGAATAATCACGCTAGTCAAAACATAATAAACCCGCGTGATATGTGTTTGCATCTAGACAATTTTTAAATTTTTGTTTATAAAAGATTTATTTTTTATGAATATTTTAGTTTTGACAGAAATTATTTGCTTTTGTCTAAATCGGAGAAGGAATTTGTTGAGCTCAATGTAAATTGACCTGAATATTCTTAACCGTTGAATCAAAAAAAAAAATCACGCTAGTCAAAACATAATAAACGGGCATCAGAGAAATTTTAGTCTTTTTAGATTATAATTTTTTTTTTGGGTAGAGTGATAATTTCTAACACCCAATTGCCAATATGATAAAAATCTAATAAGAAATTTTTTAGGTTTTAGTTGATTACTTGTTGATAATAACTTAAAAATGACACGATCTGCTAACATGAGTCATGTTATTACCAACACATGCATAATTTAATTTTGACATATTAAACCATTTTGATTGGTATTGTATGAAAAAAATGTGTAAAGTAATTTCTTTTATTTTTTACTTCTTGATCTTGTATTGTATAAATATTATTAAAAAATGTATTTGATTTATACGAGATTTTTGCTAGAAATTTTTTTGTTTAGAGAATTTTTTTTTTAGTCTTGCTTTTTTCATTTTTGGATTACGTGAGTTAACTCAAATATAACCGACTAATAAATGAATTAGGTAATATCAAATTTTCATACTTGATTAATTGAACGGGTAGAATTATAATTGATTAGTATTTAAGTACGACCACAAATAATACAATCCAAAAATGATGTAATGTCACTTAATTTGTCACTCTTTGGGCTTATTTAGAGTTAGTTTTTTTAGGTAAAAATTTGTAATTTAAAAAATTTTCCAAAAAAAGTCAGAGATAAAAAATTCTTTTAAACCCGTTTGGTGTGTTATTTAAAAAGTTGAAAAAATTCGTTTATAGTGACTTTCTAGTTTTTTTTTTTTATTTTTTATGTCAAAATANTCAGAGATAAAAATTCTTTTAAACCCGTTTGGTGTGTTATTTAAAAAGTTAAAAAAATTCGTTTATAGTGACTTTTTAGTTTTTTATTTATTTTTTATGTCAAAATAAAAAAATAATTACATAAATATATAGATTATGTATGATAGTTATCAAAATATGAATTTCAAATTTTTTTTACGTCACTAATAATATTCTATGAATATAATAAACTAAAAAAATGTGTGGAATCCACGATAAAACTCTAAAAAACCAAAAGAAAAATTCGTAAAATCAATTTCTTGAATCAACATAAATAAATTTTTTTGGATTTAAAAAATTATTTCACAAGCCCGTAAAAAAGTCAAAAATTTTACTCTAAAATCCTTAAATACTACATATTTAAGCTAATCCAAACAAACTTTTTTCTTTTATAGCCCTTATGTATAGCTGCATCAGCTTCTTCTCAATCACACATATGTGTGAGATGTGGGGTTTAACTCGATTAGGTAAGGAAGCTATGAGGCAGTTGTTGGACTGCACAGGTAATAAAGTACCCCAAGAAACATTAAGTCATGTGTGATCTAATTCACTTAAATAGTAGCCAAATAATTAATACTACAATTTTCAAGTTTGATGGCATTTCAATGCTTGTCAGTACGGCAACAATATAAACTCAAAATGTCATAAGTTCTATGTTCTGTCGCGTGAAAAATATGCACGCGCCATAGAGGAGAGTGAAGTTTACCAAATCAGATTGAAGGGTGTCAAAACAATCTGAACCCTACATTCCTGTGGTGTGGACCCCTTCATATAGGTCTACATTTTTGTCTCCCACCTATCTACGGACTACAGAGCTGGAAGCCACCGTGATGTTAGGGTGGACTTTAATGGCAGTGTCAGTTTTTGACTCTACCTCCTCTGAAGACTAGACTGCCATGCCCAAATTGGTCCAAAGGTGTCAATTTCACTTGGGTCCCCAACTGTTCCACTCATTAAGCCATTGTTTTGGTTGAATTTCAGAATCAATTTTTTTTTTTTAGAAGATTTCAGTCGCACTCCTTTTGCTTTACTATATCTTCAAAACCACTTTTTTTATTTTTTGAATTATCATTGACACCCCTGTTAAATTAAAAGTATTAACTAGAATATAATTTTACAAAATTATCCATAATATATTTTAAGATAAATTTCATCCACACCCACTCTACATATGTATATCTTTAATGAGAATCTCTCTATTTTTTAAATTTTTTTACGTTCTAAAATTTGAGCCAATTAAAATTTGGCTTCAATCAAATTTGAATCAACTCGAATCGACACAAGTTTTAATAAATAAAAAAAATATAAATTTTGATCAGCTTGAAGTAAATTTTAATTGGCGGACACGCATAACTAAAATCTACTTGAATTTTAATATATATATAAAAAATTTAATAGGCTCAATTTTTAATAAATAAATAAAATAAAATTTAATCACTTCAAATTGAATTTTAACCAATTCAAATTATAATATGTAAAAAAAATAAATTTTAATCACTCGAGTTTTATTTGAATTTTATATAGAAAAATTATTTAGGTTTATGTAGGGGTAATTTTAGTATTTTAGATTAAATTTTTTTGTTAGAAATAGTAGTTTAAAGACAGGAGGTATCTATGATGTTTAAATAGAAACTAGAAGGGGCGTCAGTAATAATTTGGATAACAAATGGGATGTCCTTGAAGATATGATAAATTAAAAGAGGTGTAATTGAAATTTTTCCTTTTTTCGGTAAGGGGGAAATCTTTGCTCTATCCATAAAAGTAGAGGTGTGTTTATGTCGTTTAGAGTAAAATAGAAGATAAATTTTGAGTGCATGAACCGATCTCTTAATTCATACACCAGTTAAATTAGGATTTGTGCTTCGATAGAGATTCAAACTCACATGAGAGACTTATATAGGATTCTTCCAAGTAATTAAGGTCCGTCCTATCAGCTAACTACGTTTTTTGTCACTCAAAAAACCTAAACTCTTAACTTCAAGAAATCAAAACTTTCGTGAGTAAAAAGGTACTATTGGACTAAAGACCTTTTGATAGAGAACCAAGAATATTTATTTGAACTTAAATTATTAATTATTATTACAGTGAAATTTACAAGCAAATTTCACTCAACATCCAGGTTTGTTGTTAATCTAATATTAGCAGTGAATTTGATAATCAAATTTAGTCAATAAAGTGAATCGAAATTGCATTATTCTTTGAGGAAAGTAAATTGTTATTTGTTTTCCAATATATTTTTGTATTTATGGAGATTAGCATATAAAAAATGCTGAATTCATATTGGATGAGATGGAGAGATAGACCACATAAAGTAACTCACATTCGCAAAGGATTGAATCTCTCTTCACTGATATATTTCTCCTCCTTCAGTAATATGCAAAATTTCGAAACACAAAAATATTTTATTTCGAAATTATTGAATAAAATTATAGGTACTGAAAATGGTGGAAATTTTATTGCAACCCACCAAAGTATCCCAAACTAAATTAAATGCAGTGGCACATATTATATTTATTACATTATTTATGAAGTTGAATTTTATATGAATATAGAAAATTAATTACATGTCCTTTTATTAAGTGAAACTTTAAATGTTTTTCAAAAAATATGTATGGTGACATTATTGCCAATATTTAATTTTGATCAAACCCATATCTTTTATTAGGTCAAATCTAATTAATTACAAATCTACATTCAATTTTGTTTTGTTTCCATGTGAAAGTTGTATAAAGTTTTTAAATGTTTAACTTAAATGAACGTATAACGCATAATCGAAATGAATGATAAATGATCATATAGTTGATCNTGAAAGTTGTATAAAGTTTTAAATGTTTAACTTAAATGAACGTAAAACGCATAATCGAAATGAATGACAAATGATCATATAGTTGATTTCAAATAATTGGGACGAACTTAATTTGATTAGTCGATTTGATTGGTTTTATGAAAACTGTATAAGAGCTTCTGTTTTGAGAAATTATTTAAAAGTGCATCTTGTAATTCTAACCAGACACATGATTCATAGCATAAATTAATAATATGAGAGATCCATTTAATTGGTAAGGTATATTTCAAACCAAGTTTATTAAATTGAAAAATTTATTACTCCCTCCGTTCCTAAATATTTGTCGTTTTACACAATTTTAAAATTAGAAAGANTGGAAATTTTATTGCAACCCACCAAAGTATCCCAAACTAAATTAAATGCAGTGGCACATATTATATTTATTACATTATTTATGAAGTTGAATTTTATATGAATATAGAAAATTAATTACATGTCCTTTTATTAAGTGAAACTTTAAATGTTTTTCAAAAAATATGTATGGTGACATTATAGCCAATATTTAATTTTGATCAAACCCATATCTTTTATTAGGTCAAATCTAATTAATTACAAATCCACATTCAATTTTGTTTTGTTTCCATGTGAAAGTTGTATAAAGTTTTAAATGTTTAACTTAAATGAACGTAAAACGCATAATCGAAATGAATGACAAATGATCATATAGTTGATTTCAAATAATTGGGACGAACTTAATTTGATTAGTCGATTTGATTGGTTTTATGAAAACTGTATAAGAGCTTCTGTTTTGAGAAATTATTTAAAAGTGCATCTTGTAATTCTAACCAGACACATGATTCATGGCATAAATTAATAATATGAGAGATCCATTTAATTGGTAAGGTATATTTCAAACCAAGTTTATTAAATTGAAAAACTTATTACTCCCTCCGTTCCTAAATATTTGTCGTTTTACACAATTTTAAAATTAGAAAGAATTGGGGATCGCTTTATCAATTGTCATAAATTCAAGTATAACTCATTGGATAGAAATGACCTCTTACTTACACACACAGGGTAATCTACCACTGAATAACATTAAGAAAAAGTATATTAAAAAAATGCCTAAATTCAATTTGAACATCTGTTCTTGATAGAATCAAGAGGAAAGAATATCATCCAAGATTTTTTTTTTGGGTTAACCTAGTTGTTCCGATGGACCAATACAATACATTTTCCCAAGCATTTATCGCACTAATTTGTCTCTCCATATAATGAAATAAATCTATGGACAGTAACCATAAGAGATATGCACCTATGAAATATTTGAACCTTTAATCTACACTTTTTGAGGTGTTTGTCAAAGGGTTGAATTATCACTATATTATCTCCTCGGAGTTAATATGACCTAAATTCAAGTTTGATCAAACACCCTCCCCCAACACACACCAAAAAAAAAAAGCCCTTCATTTTAACTAGACCTGGACTCTAATATCACTACCCTATGTTATGAAAAGTTAAAGAGTCCAAGTTTGTCATAAGCAGTGGTGGAGCTACATGTAAAGGGCCGGCGGCAGTTACCCCCACTGAATTTTGAGCAAAAGTTTATAGGTTCAAAACTTTAAAGAATGTTGCCCCCATAAATTCAAAAGTTTACATGTTATTCTCATAAATTCTTAGAAAATTTATATAGTGTTCCAGTTGTTTTTATTTTTGGTGTGTCAATGCTCCACTCGCTACCTTAATTAATCTATGAAGACATATTTTAATTGAATAAAACAGATGTAAAATACTGCGACGCATACATATTAACCAAAGACAATACTATCTGAATTGATATTGATTTCTTGATTTTGACGTAATAGTTAAGTCTTAGATCTTAATATTTTTCTTATATTTTAGCTTAAGAATTCTTCATTTGAAAATAACATTCAATTCAATCATCTTTAACGAAAGTTCGAAAATATATTTATTTTTTTAATACCATTTGTTTAAATTTTTTGCTCATATTTTTGCCTCTACTAAGATAGATATCTGGCTCCGCCCCTGGTCATAAGCCATTGTCATTTGACCCTTTCAGCTTCTATATACACATCATAAGTGTATAATTTAAATCTGGTCTAAATCTACATCATCTATGATTGTCAATTAAGTGTATAATTTTCCCATCCTTCTAATTACATTCTTTTAACTCATGGTCACAATGTAAACTTGAGATGCATATAACCACACATATCAGATTAACTTAAAAAAATCAAGAAAATTATAACATGCGGATCAAATTCAGACAAACATATACATCATGAAGGATGAGCGAATTTTCTCTTTTCATGTAACAAAAATTATACTATTTGACATATTTTCGGATTGTGTGAGTACTAAAGTTTAATTGGATTTAAGATCTAAATACTTATGACCTTACCTATTTGAACAGGTGTGAGGTTTTAAAATTGTGACTGTTTAAGTGATTATAATAAAGCGTAAAGTTACATTTAAATTCTTTTCTATGCCTTAGAGTTCAAGAATTTTAAATAATTTCCTAACTAACAGTGTAATCGATTGAAACGTAAGAAAGACAACTAGAATGCAAAGTAACAAGTAGACTAAGTTTGGAAGATAAAACAAGTATTGTACTTAACATTAAACAAAAATAGTAAAAATCACCAGAGTGAGGGAGTACAAGAAAAATAAAGTTGTTTGAGAGTAAAAATAAGTAAGTATAAGGTTCGTTGACTCTGTGTAGAATTTATTGTATTTGATCATAGATCTCTTCACTGTAGCCTGACCTTTGTTATTTATAGGGATAACATTCAATTGTCGATGCCATCTTTTTTGATCATGACTATAATCATTACTAATATCTTGAAATGTATAGACATGCGTTGAACCGTTTTTAACTAACGGCTCATAATGTCACGTATTCTCATTCCCCAGGATTCTTACAATTCTACTTCTTTAACTATTTTNTTGAAATGTATAGACATGCGTTGAACCGTTTTTAACTAACGGCTCATAATGTCACGTCTTCTCATTCCCCAGGATTCTTACAATCCTACTTCTTTAACTATTTCNGTAACAAGTAGACTAAGTTTGGAAGATAAAACAAGTATTGTACTTAACATTAAACAACAATAGTAAAAATCACCAGAGTGAGGGAGTACAAGAAAAATAAAGTTGTTTGAGAGTAAAAATAAGTAAGTATAAGGTTCGTTGACTCTGTGTAGAATTTATTGTATTTGATCATAGATCTCTTCACTGTAGCCTGACCTTTGTTATTTATAGGGATAACATTCAATTGTCGAAGCCATCTGTTTTGATCATGACTATAATCATTACTAATATCTTGAAATGTATAGACATGCGTTGAACCGTTTTTAACTAACGGCTCATAATGTCACGTCTTCTCATTCCCCAGGATTCTTACAATCCTACTTCTTTAACTATTTCCTAGCAATCATACACTTTTACAAACTCTTTCATAACCGTTGGATCTCTTTCACTCGTCACCCTTTAATTTTGCTATTTTTGGGTGTAAACACATACAAAATACATTTTTTGCCAGAAAAATATGAATCCCAGAATTACAAGCTAACAATAAACACACTAGTGATACCTCTTGTTCAAACACACGTATCAGACATGAAGGTTGCCCTTCAGATGGTAGACTCTCTTTTACTCACAGAATGAAATTGGATCTTTCAATATGTCGCCTCTCCACATTAAACCGTATTAGTCCCTTAAAAATAGTTAACTATAAAAAGCATTTAAAAGGAAGTCAAACACCAAAGAAACTACATTGTAATTATGATCTCTAACACAAGAAGTTTCTGAGAAAAAGGCTCAAAACAACATACAAAATCCAGGATGGGGAAAAAAGAGACAAGTGTCTCGTATCTCCTCCAGGACAAAATCAGAAAGGGATGAGTTTCCAACCATCAATTTTCCAGCATCCACTGCACTTATGTATTTTTTGAAGTGATCCCTTAAACCGATCTCTTCAAGAGTCTAATCTCAGCACTCGATGATCTCCATGCATAAACAAGGGATGAAGAAAACTTGGTTATATCAGTTAGTGTTGTAACATCCACTGCATAATGTCCTTCCGTATCACTCCATCAAACCCAAGCCTTATATGGTTCACTTTGAATGCTTCACGGCCACCAATGCACAGCTGCCTGTACTGCATGTTGGATCCAGATGGCTTTGCAGGCCGTATCATCATTGCAATTGTGGGAAAGGGTTTAGACCATATGTTCTTTGACAAAGTAAACAGATGCCTATCAGATTCCCGGTCCACTTTTCTCATACTGGAACTTTGGGAGGCCCCCGGAGTTTTCTGGTGAGTTGAGTTAGTCAACTGCTTTGTCGTGTTTATGTTTGCATTACCACCTGATGGGGGATTTCCACCACGGATCTGGGCTGCTGGTTTCATTCTGTCAAGCCACCGCAGGATCCAGTTGCCAACGTTTCGACCAACTTCAATGTCCCTTTGTTGTATACTTTGGTGAACATTGAGTGCCACATCAAATATAGCTCGTGTTCGTCTGTGACCAAAAAAAAAGCAGATATGAAATAGCAAATATCTAAGAAAACATTACGTCCCTAACTCAGCAAAGATAGCTATAAAATGCAATGTACTTGGCTGCAGAGATAAACCATACAAAAAGTTGGAAAGTGCAATATTTGCCGAGTCCTAAGGAACAAAATACCAAATAGTGTAAACCAGTAAACTACTTTTTACCCTCTTATGGTTCATCTACTTAAGGTTTAAACAACTACACTTAACCCTCCCTTTAAATTTAGGAATTAAGGACTAACAGAGGTAATCTTCTAGTATAAAAATACCCTTTATCTGTTATAATATTCCAGAGTATTTTATTCCTAAAAATTGCTCAATAATTGAATATACTTAAAAGATACAAAGATAAAAAAAACAGTTTGGTTTAGTTTAGAGAAAGAGATACGATATCTATATATATGGATATAATGGTTATTTTGGCATGTGAAGTTATTAAAAGTTTTGGCTTTTGACCAACAAATTTAGTAAAAAAATTTAGTGGGGATACTTTATTCCAAAACCATAGGGGGTGAACTGTAGGTTTTCAAACCATGGGAAAGCAATGTGTTGGTGGTTAAAACCACAAAGGGGTAAAAATAAGTACCCTAATTTTTTATTAAATAGCACTATAACTCGAGTCCTTTGTGATTTAGTGAGGTTCCATTTGATATTATTTCATAGGAGGGACTTAATTTTTATTCTCATACAAATGTTTATTTTCCTTACAATAAAATATTGCATATGAAAAGAAAATGAATGACCATTCCCTGTTAGCTGAGAATCCTATTCGTACAAGTAATATTTAGCCACGGAGGCTGTGTTCATGAACTCCATAGTTGATTGGCAGAGACCAATTGCCATTGTTCCACGTTTGCAGCTTCAACATGTAAACTATATAAATTAGGAAGGCCAGCCTTTATTTATCGAACACCTTGCCAATATCACCCCCTAAAAACACCATGGGATAGCGATATATTGACATGTCTTCCCCAAGACTCTGTTATAATTTATTGGGTTTTCTCACATCAGCATATCTGTATCTTGGGTCAAGATGGGCTCATATCCTTTTTCAAGATAAAGAGTCTAAGAGTTAACACATAAGCATAAGCACTCCAACAATACATAACACTAAAAGCGATATATAACTTAGTGTCACGGGGTTAAATTTCTCACCAAATTTTTGCCTCGTGATGGCACTAAGATCCAACACTTAGTCTCAGCCAAACACTCAGAATGCACATAAAATGCACATAGAACAGAGAATGTACAGTAAATAAACACACAGGCAAGACACACAGAATTTACAGGCAACAACCAAACCTTTCTTTCTCAATAAAGTATAAGGAACTCAACCTTGGTGTTTGTTTACAAAAACNCTTTCTCAATAAAGTATAAGGAACTCAACCTTGGGGTCTGTTTACAAAAACGTGTCACTCTCTTGTTGCACTATAGACCCCAAACACCCTATTTATAATATTCAGGGTGGCAGTTACAAGCCCAACTGCCTAGGCACATGTCTGTAATTCAAATGCTACCAGATGCCTGCTGTGATTGGATGACAGGGAAGTTATAACTGGTGTCTGCATGCTTGTCTGAATCTGACAGAGATTCTACATGCAATGCACTTGCCAGAAAATTGTCCAAAATTGCCCAGAACTGCCACCATCTCCAGNTCTGCATGCTTGTCTGAATCTGACAGAGATTCTACATGCAATGCACTTGCCAGAAAACTGTCCAAAATTGCCCAGAACTGCCACCATCTGCAGAGCACATGCCCAACTTCCTCACATGTTGTGCATGTGTCAGGAGCCCTTAGCATCCGAATTGCATTACATTCGTGCCTAACTATGGCCCAACCCATGGCTCATTACTCAAGCTAGCATAGCCCCACAATTCAAGCCACCTGCTTCCTTACTTGCATGCTGACTTGTGCCCACATGCCCATGTGCATGGACTGCCTCCCTCAGTCATGCATGGGACTTCTGCCATTTTGGCTAAGGCATGGGTGCCTATGGGCGAGGCTACCTGATGCCGCTAATGGCTAAGGGGGTAACAAACCACCCCCACCAGAAGAGCTCGACGTCCTCGTTGAGAGGTTGTCCCAATACCCCTTGATCTGTTTCTCAAACTTCCAAAGAGTCACATCTCTTTCCCAACTTGCGTCTGCCTTGGAACCCCCTTTCTAATGCACCAGAAAATCAATCCTGCGATTCTTCTTACTCTGACCTATGGTCCGATGAGACAGAATCTTGTCGACCTCTCTGTCAAACTGTTTCCTAATGATAGGTGGAGCCCTCCTAGCTTGCTTTCTTCCAGCATTCAATAAGTCTTCCTTTAAAGGCTTTAGAAAACTCACATGAAAAGTTAGGTGAATTTTCAATCGATCAGACAGCTTCAAGCGATAGGCAACATTTTCGACCTTCTTCATCACCTCAAAGGGGCCATCGTATTTGGGAATCAGCTCACGGTGTACTACCTTGTTGTTGATCCTTTTCCATAATGCAGGAGTCAATTTCAGCAAAACTAGATCACCAACTTGAAATTCTAGTGGTCTGAGGCTTTGATCAACATACTTCTTCATTCGTCGGGAAGCTTTGGCCGAGCTGTCCTTTGCCTCGTCAAGCAACTGCTACTTGGAACAGGCAAACCGATATACAGTAAGACATTTTCCTCCGGTCCTCTGTTTTACCATTTCATGGGGAGTAAGTGGCTGATGTCCCATAGCCAATTCACAGGGACTCATTCCTGTTGCTGAAGATCTATGCAAATTGTAGCAAAACTGGGCAGTGTCCATAAGCTCCAACCAATTTTTCTGACTTGTAGTGACATAGTGCCGCAGATAGTCCTCCAACAAGACATTAATCCGCTCAGTCTGTCCATCAGTCTGGGGATGACTTACGGTAGAGAACTTCAACTCAGAACCCATGAGATTGAACAACACCGTCTAGAATCTGCCAGTGAACTTGGTATCACGATCACTGACTATATTTTTAGGCAATCCAAAGTACTTCACAACGTACTTGTAGAACAGTTATGCAANTGAGATTGAACAACACCGTCTAGAATCTGCCAGTGAACTTGGTATCACGATCACTGACTATATTTTTAGGCAATCCAAAGTACTTCACCACGTACTTGTACAACAGTTATGCAGCAACATCTGCTAGGCAAGCATGAGGTGCAGGAATGAACACCGCATACTTAGAGAAACAATCGACCACCACCATGATCGAATGCATGCCATCAACCTTTGGTAGATTGCAAATGAAATCCATCGAGACTGACTGCCACGATCTGTCAGGAATGGGCAGGGGCTGAAGCAAGCCTGCTGCCTTCTTCTTCTCAACCTTGTCAAGTTAGCACACTAGACAGGTTCTGACATAGGCTTCAACATCGTCTTCCATCTTGGGCCAGTAATAGAAGTGAGCCAGCAATACAAGCATCCTCTCTACTCCTGGATGTCTAGCCCACTGAGAGTCGTGTGTCTCACGTAGCAACTCCAGTCGTAGTTCCCCTCCCGTAGAAACATAGAGTTTGCTAGTGAAAGCATAGAGCAGATCATCATCAATCCAGTATCTACGCACCAGACCTTCGCCAACTTGCTGCTTCAATTTTCCGTAAGCAACATCAGTCTGGGCACGTTCCTTGACTCTTGCCAGGAAGTCAGTCTGCACACTGGACAGTGCAGCAACATATTCTTGGACCTCCTTCCTACTCAACACATCAGCAACTTGATTTTGTCTCCTAGGTTTGTGTACCCATACAAAATCAAACTCAGCAAGAAATTCCTGCCATCGGGCCTGTTTCGGGGTTAACTTCTTCTAGGTCTTGAAATAAGTGTTTGCCACATTATTTGTCACAATAGTGAATTTCGTTCCCAACAAGTAGTGTCTCCAGATTTCAAGGCAATGCACCACAGCAGTCATTTCCTTCTCATATGCTGAATATTGCATCTTTAAGTTTTCGGCTTTCAAAGGCAACAGGGTGTCTCTCCTGAACAAGGACTCCTCCAATGGCGTGGTCAGAAGCATCAGTGTGCACTTTGAAAGGCAGATCAAAGTCCACCAATCTCAGTACAGATGCAAAGGATACTGCATACTTCAGCTTCTCAAAAGTTGTCTGACAAGCATCATTCCAATTCCACTTTTGGTCTTTCTTCAACAAGTCAGTCAGGACATTGCACTTCTTTGAATATTCTTCAATGACCTTACGGTAGTAATTGGCTAGGCCAAGAAACGACCTCAGTTCAGACACCTTGGTTGGTGCAGGCCAATCAACAATTGCCTTCACCTTCCTCTCATCCATTCGGATTTTGCCTTGGCTAATGTAATGTCCCAAGAACATCACTTCTTGGCGACAGAACTCACATTTTTTCTTTTTGACATACAACTGGTGTTCCCTAAGCCGTGATAACACAGCCCTCAAATGATGTATGTGATCCTCCAGCATTTCACTATAGATTACAATGTCATCTAAGAAAACAACCACAAAGACATCAATGTAATCGTAAAAAACATCATTCATTAGATTACAGAAAGTTGTCGGGGCATTAGTGAGCCCAAACGGCATTACAAGAAATTCAAAAGAACCATAACGCGTCACTCACGCAGTCTTTGGCTCATCCCCTTCTGCAATTCTAACCTGCCAATACCCAGTCCTCAGATCCAGCTTTGTGTAGAAAGTAACCTTGGATAGTCTGTTGAACATATCAGCAACATTNCAAGATCCAGCTTTGTGTAAAAAATGGCCTTGGACAGTCTGTCGAACAGATCAACAACATTCAGAACAAGGTACTTGTTCTTGATAGTCACCTTGTTCAAGGCACGATAATCGATGCACATGCGCAACGATCCATCTTGCTTCTTCTGGAACAGAACAGGGGCTCCGTATGGCGCCTTGGATGGCTTCATGCTGCCAGAATCTAACAACTCGTTCAATTGCTTCCTCAATTCTGTCAGTTCCATTGGCGACATCCGGTAAGGGGCACGGGCCAGAAGCTTTGCACCAGGCTCCAGTTCTATCTTGTGGTCAATTACACATTTGGGTGGACGATTCTTGGGGAGTTCAGGGGACATAACATCAACAAACCCGACCAGTACATCTGCCACAGTATCAGGTACTTCAACCAGCACATCTGGTTTGATCTCCACCAAGGCTGCAAGATATGTCATCTCGCCCTTCTCCAACCCAGCATTTACTTGCATAGCGGACAACATTCCCACCTTCCGCTTTCCATCTTTCTTACTTTGGTCTACCATGACTGCAGGCACAAAACAATGTGTTTTCTCATCCGTGATCAGCACTTCGTTCAGATGTGGCATTAGTGCCACTTTCGTTATAACAAAGAATTCATTCCCTAGGATGACATCAAAGTCATCCAAAGGCCCAACCATCAAACTCATTTGGCCTTCCCACAGACCCACCTTTAGGCGTATTTCTGCTGTACCATGTACTGGCATTGCTTCAGAATTTACTGCCTTGAGTTTGCTTGAATTCTCTCACAATTTCAGGCCAAACTTTCCCACCTTTCTCTGGGCAACAAAGTTGTGGGTGGCTCCAGTATCCACCATGGCCTGAACTTCCTTGCCATTCACCCAAACCTGAACAAACATGAGGCCTTTGCGGGGTTGCTGAACTTTGCTTACAGTAATTGCGTTCAGCAACCGAAGAGGGTTAACTCGGGTAGGATAATCATCATCACTGTCATTCTCACTTGCAGCAACAAGGGCACTTAACTTCTCCCTCTTGGGGCAGTCTTTGACACGATGGGCGCCACCACAGAGAAAACAACCAGAATCAAAAGTTTTCTTCTTCTAGCTATTGTCTGGTTTGTTAAAGTCAGCAACGTTCTTTCTTTTCTTCCAATCCGCTTTCTTTGCGTCTTTGGAAGTGTCAGCCTTATCTTTTCTGCCGCCACCATCCTTCTTCTTTTTCTCAGGAGGGCCTTGGCTGCCGCCCATTTTGAAGTCAACAAGGCCATCTGCTGTAGAAATNTTTTTTCTTCCAATCCGCTTTCTTTGCGTCTTTGGAAGTGCCAGCCTTATCTTTTCTGCCGCCACCATCCTTCTTTTTTTTCTCGGGAGGGCCTTGGCTGCCGCCCATTTTGAAGTCAACAAGGCCATCTGCTGTAGAAATGGCAATGGGCAGATCACATACCTTTTGCCTTCGCAGTTCAGCCTGTGCCCAACCTTGCAATCCGGACATAAAGTTGAAAAGTTTGTCTTCCTCTGACATGTTCTTGATGTCCAACATCAATGAACTAAACTCTTTCATGTAATCACGAACTGTTCCAGTGTGCTTCAACTTTTTGAGTGAGTCCCTAGCAATCCAAGTTGTATTGCTAGGGAGGAATTGATCCTTCAATTCCTTTTTCAGGGTCTCCCACATCTCGATCTTTGGACGACCAGCAGAGGTATCGTCCACATTCCGGGTCCTCCACCACAATTTGACATCACCAGATAAATACATACTGATGATTGTTACTTTCTCTCTATCAGGCACATAGGCTGCCTTAAAGTACTGCTCCATGTCCTAAAGGAAATTCTCCAGATCCTTAGCGCTTCGGGTGCCTCTAAAGACCTTTGGTTCAAAGACTTTAATATTTGACGATGTCTCGCCCACAGTAGGACGAGAATTCATGGCCCTCTTCACCATGGACACTTCATATTCAAGATCCTTAAAATTCGTTTTGACAGCGTTTGTGAGAGACATGATATCCTCCATCATTGTTACAATCTTTGCATCGGTGTCAGACACATAACTATCAAAAGTCATTTGTAATCCCGCAATCTGAATAACGTGCTGTTCCATCTGCACAGCCACGCTGGTTGCATCATTTGTCTAAGGGGCGCCCAAAAAATCTTCGAGACGGGCAATACGTTCTCGCAATTCAGTAGCGTTTCCACNTTTGTAATCCCGCAATCTGAATAGCGTGCTGTTCCATCTGCACAGCCACGCTGGTTGCACCATCTGTCTAAGGGGCGCCCAAAAAATCTTCGAGACGGGCAATACGTTCTCGCAATTCAGTAGCGTTTCCACCAGTCATGGTCGTAAACTGAAGCTCTGATACCAATTGTCATGGGGTTAAATTTCTCACCAAATTTCTGCCTCGTGATGGCACTAAGATCCAACACTTAGTCTCAGCCAAACACTCAGAATGCACACAAAATGCACATAGAACAGAGAATGGACAGTAAGTAAACACACAGGCAAGGCACCCAAAATTTACAGGCAATAACCAAACCTTTCTTTCTCATTAAAGTATAAGGAACTCAACCTTGGGGTTTGTTTACAAAAACGTGCCAACTCTCTTGTTGTACTACAGACCCCAAACACCCTATTTAAAATATTCAGGGTGGTAGTTACAAGCCCAACTGCCTAGACACATGTCTGTAATTTAAATGCTACCAGAGGTGTGCTGTGATTGGATGACAGGGAAGTTATAACTGGTGTCTGCATGCTTGTCTGAATCTAACAGAGATCCCACATGCAATGCACTTGCCAGAAAACTGTCCAGAACTGCCCAAAACTGCCACCATCTGCAGAGCACATGCCCAACTTCTTCACATGTTGTGCATGTGTTAGGAGCGCTCAGCATCCGAATTGCATTACATTCATGCCTAACCATGGCCCAGCCCATGGCTCATATTCAAGCTAGCATCGCCCCACAATTCAAACCACCCGTTTTCTTGCTTGCATGCTGACTTGTGCCCCCGTGCCCATGTGCATGGACTGCCTCCCTCAGTCGTGAGGGACTTCTGCTATTTTGGCTAAGGCATGGGTGCCTATGGGCGAGACTATCCGATGCCAAATGCTGCCAATGGTTAAAGGGGTAACACTTAGGTACAAGGAGTCTGAGAACCATAAGATGAGTGGGACCAACTGTTAAGGGTGGCGTTTCCTCTCAAGAGCCTACATGACTCCGTTCTGGAGAAAGGTGGAGGAGCATGGAATCTTAGCTTCAAGGGGAATGGTTCAAGTCCAAGACCTTTAATGAAGCACACTTACAAAGTAATCTAACCGTCAGCAGTTATCACCTAAACAAGTCAAGGTTTGCAAAAGGTAAACACCGGAGTTGGTAGTATTATCGACATCCTTGAAGAACACAGCTTTCTTAAGTAATTGGATGTGGAAACTTTAAGAGAGTATGCTAGCTTAGATTAGACTACACATGTTATGTTACTGATGATGAAAGTCAATCCATTCAACATTATTTGCCTAGATGGTGGGTGGCATGGGAGTAGTGAGAAAAGAATATATGTCAAGTCATTTCATATTGCAACTCATTTTATTATTCTAAATATCATTCGGGTTTCTAGTGCCTCAAAGACTTTCCTAGACAAGGGCAATATGAAATAAACATTAAGAAGTTTGATAATTCATTTGTTAAACAATGTCAATTAAACATAATCAATTAAACATGGTAATAGGCTAACCCTGCAACTGAAATAGACATTGAAAGAGTCAATATTCGATCGTGAAAGCTTTCTTTTTTTTTGGCGAAGTTTGAGACAATCCAAACCGAAATGATAAAAGAAAAAACAAAATAAAGATTATAACGCAGTATTTTCTATCAATTATTTCTAAAAAGAAAAGATATGTTTAGTTATATATCCAAACACTATTTATTCATCTCCACATCAATTAAGTAAAAGCACAAAATCTTCCTTTACTCAGCAATCTTTCATTTGTTATGACCCATTTCCATTAGATTCTAACAATACACATACCCAGGTTGAAATGGGAATGACCAGTCTCATCACAAACCATAAAGACACACTTAACATTACAGAAATTTTCCACATCATCATTAAGACATATCCCTCCTTCTCTTATTGAATCACAAAAATCAACTAAACTCGATTGATAAAAATACAAAATCAAAACAAGTGATCGGAAACAGTAACAATAAGCGAGAGAGAAAGAGAGAGAATTAAACATACACTACCGTACCTTTGTACAAATTGACGGGCTTTAAGGCGCTTAGGGCTTATGAGCCTCCGTTGAATCTTCAGAGCAAGTCTGTAAGTTCGTTTCAGACCCAAAAAATACGCAGTTCCTAATGTGATCTCCCATAGCACCATCGTCCCCTTCTCTCTCTCTAAATCTCTCTCTGCATATATAGGCCTGTGCATATATATGTGGATTTTTCGCTGTTCTTCGTCACTAATTTCTTTTTCGTTTATCGCAAGTCACCATCGATTCTGGGAGCCGCCAGGATATTCGATCTGCGGGTGACGAGTTCTATTAGCTAAAACCCACCGTTGCCGGGTCTTGAGGTTATCACTGACGTCATCAGGACCGTTGGTTACAATTGTAGACAGACTAATTGGGCCCACTGAATTGGGCTCTAAGACAAGATTGGAGTTTGGGTTATAAAGGCTAGTTGTACTCTATTGAATTGGGTTTGAGCCCAGAATTGAGTTTGGGTTATGGTTGAACTAAGTTTCACTGATACAATAAAACCTTGATGATTATCCTATGCTTAGCTTTTGAATTTTTCCCCGGTAGCCATTACGAGCTCTGAGTTACGAGCCTAAAAAATTGTTTGAACTCGATTCGTTTTCTCTTTAAGTCGAGTCTTATACAAATCGAATCGGAGTAGCTCAACTCAATTATCTGTCCTACCTCTTAACTAACTTGAAGAGGAGTTTGGGTTATGATTGGACTAAGCTTCACGGATAACAAGAGTTTATTCAAACAGCATGCTAGCCTCCTCCTTCTTCTTCTTCCTTTTCTTCTCCTTCTTTCATTACAATTTTTTTTTTCTTTCTATACCTATGTGACAAAAAGCCAATGTAGCTTGCTACTAGGAAATGAAATTCAAATATGGCATAACAATGTGAAAACTTAAACAGTTTTTGTGTGATTCCATTCAAGATATTTTATGCAAGGAAGGACTGCTCATAAAATAAATGGGTGGTCCCCTAAAGTACGCGCTCAATGTTAACTTTAATTGTTCAATTCTCAATTGGTAGGGTGTCAAGCTCTCAAGTGGCAACATAATCGGTCTTTTCACTTTATTTAATGGACTGAATGACTGATCTTTCTTTTCTCGTATCCATTTCCATTTATTATTTGGATGGAAGTTTTTGAAAACATTTATTTATAAATGAATTGACAAAATGAAAAGTTGAGAGATCACAAAAAGACATGTATACTTTAGTAGCTATTAAAAGAGTGTGCGAAGAGATTAAACATAAAATTTTTGACTTATCAAATATTAGACTCAATTATTGAATCACTATAAACGTATGTAGAGAAATTCGTAATTTGGATATTACTAACGAAAATTGGAACGATACAAAGATAGTAAATTATAATATTAGAATCAAAATTTTTGAGTGTTGAACAATCGAATCAAATGAACTGTGTGCACTTCGAAGAGATATAAATGTCCCACTCACTTTCCACCGAAAGCGCCCATAGCTTGCGACAAAAGCACGGGGACACCACCGTTGATTCAAACAAATAAGAAGGGTAAAAATGGAATAAATCAAAGAAATAGCAACCTCAACAACAACGAGAGTCGCACACTGCCCCCCCCTTCTCTCTCTCTCTCTCTCTCTCCTGCGAACATGCACAGGCAGTCTCTGGGATCACCTACTTCGAAGCTCCACATTCATGGCGCTAAAGAAGTAAAATTCACAGCAGAAGAGGCGGAGCGTAAAGATCACGCGTCTTCAGCACTTATAGACAGCAACGATGATGAAGACGACCACAAGTTACAGAAGAATTCTCATAAATCACCTGAGGCTGAGAGATACATACACCTCATTCCCATTCTCACCGTCCTCTGTTTCGTCATCCTCTACCTCTCCTCTCACGATCCCTCTCAGAGAGGTAATTAAGCCAAAATCAACGGTCTCGATCAAGCATTACTGTTTTTCAACTCGATTCTCTGCATTTCTGAGTTTGCTTTCCTATTCAGATTTGGCTCAGTTCAACGGATTTAAGCGACTGTCGGAGCCGATAGGTATAATCGACATGACATTTTCGTTGCTTATTGTGCTTTTTCTGCTTCATGTTTTTTGAAAATTTTTTACTATGCATTTTCTGAATTCTGGCAAGTGTTTTTTCTGTGTGTGTAGATTCAAGGCTTTTGGAGGTTCAGAGCAGCCATGTTTTGGCGATTCGAAGCCTGAGGAATCTTCTGGAGATCAATACGCAAGCTCCGAAAAATCGACTCCATCGGAAAATCGGCGATTTCTAGTGCGCATTCCCTGGTTCTTTTCTTTCTCCCTTGGCTCCATATCTATATTTGATCATCTCTGTCGTTCGAGTTAGTGAGTTCGCAGGTACGGCTCCGTCGGTGGAGCGAATAATGTCATTTCAACTAATTTATTGACTTTATTTATTAAATTAATTTACTATAATTAATTATTTATTTTAGTTCATCCGTATGAGTGTTCGAGTTTAAAGGTCCGACATGATTTATCAAAATCTCAATTAATTCTTACCTTAGTCTGTTTAAGAAGAGGTCATTTATATTAAAATTAGGATATTCTTCGATTATTTGTAGATTTTATTAAATATTAAAAATTAATATTAATTCAACAATTATACTAAAATTATATTATTAAATTAATAAATTATATCTAAATTCAAATCACATTATTTTTTCCCAATTATGCATGTCAATTTGTTGTTTTGTCAAAAAGCAGCTTGACACGTATGCACCTCTATAAGAATGTTCAACAATTCTATTTCAACCAAAAATTTAGACCAAATCATAACTCAAATGATGTGAAATTTAATATATTAATATATTGATTTTCATGATTATATATATATATTTTTCTTTTTTTTATACTTTCATTCACTTCGGATGCCCTTTTATTTTAGATTACCAATAAAAATGTGACGAGAAGAAGAAAGAGCGTGATCTTGAAGATCAACACATTGATTTATGAGGTTGTTGAAAAACTTATTTTCTATATGATTTTGTATGTTTAATACTTCACCATCTACCATAACACGAGTTTCAATTTAGCAACCATAATCTCTTCTTACGTCCCTTAAGGGATAATCACTTTTATCTATTTAAAGATATGTTTAATTCAACTTAAGTCACGGTGGTTAGTCGCAAATCTGAATCCCCTATAATAAAAAATTAAAAAAAAAATAAATTTAGCAACCATACGAAAATTTGGTAGAACGTGAGATGATGCATCGGTTGGTGATTTGCAAGATAGAGCATGGATTAGAGTATCCAAACTTGTTCCTCCCTTTGTTTATTTAAAATGGGAGATGGAAGTTTTAGGCTTTATTAGAATTGTAAATAAATTTCTAAAATTAATGCAGTTTTTTGACTTTGTTTCTCAAATAAGGTAACTTCTGACTTATTTTTCATTTTTATCGTGTAATGATATATTCACCGAAAAATAGGACAAAAAATATGGATTCAATAATGTGGCATTATTGTAATAAAAAAAATTTAAAATTTTGAATAACTAAAACTGGGATCAATAGCACCAATAAAATCACATCATTTGGTCCCATAGTTGTGGCAGCGTGACCAACGGTGCCAGTGTGTGTTTGGATTAGGTATTAAGAACGATTGAATTGGATAATTTCATTCATTCCATATTCAATTGGATTTTTTTTTTAAATCACGAAATAGGTGGGTTGATTTAGAAGATGTATGTGCAAATAATAACAATATTCATGCAGGCCTAGATTATTTTTAAGTGAGTGTATTAGACCTAAATTGTGTATCCAAAATTGGAAAAAAAATGGTATAAAGTGAGCCTAAAAATTATTTAATACAATCTTCATTATTAATACCTAATCAAAACACAAGTGTCGGTATGGGAGTCTCTTTCTTAGAGCATTTCTAACAAAGTTTTGTATTTTAGTTATCCAAAAGTATAATTTTTTTATTTTATGTACTCACTTTTTTAATACATACTCAAATATATCTTCTATATTTTAATTATTTTTAAAAAATATTATTTCTCATGTACTTTTGCTGGGACTATTAAAGCAAGAGAGAGAGAGAGAAAAAAAAAAGATGGAAAGATAAAGAGTGAACAAAAAAAGTGGAAAATAACAAGAGGAGAGAGTATATATTTTAAACTATTTATACATAATGCTACAGTGATATTTTAAATATAAATCATCACTATAACAAAAATATATTTTACTTACTCTGATGGTCCGTTTGGTACGAAAGATGAAAATAATGAAGGAAGGAAAAGTGAAAGGAATAACTTTTTCATTCATAAAAGAAAGAAAGTTATTTTCCCTCTTTTTTGTTTGGTAAGAAGGATAGAAAATAAAAGGAATATATTTTTCATTGTTTGGTATTTGATGAAAACTGAAACAAAAAGAAAAACATATATGCTCAATTTATAAATTTACCTTTAAATATATTAAGTGAATTTTTTATTACAAATCAATCCTATTAATTTTGAAAAAGATTTTAATTCCCTTTATTTTTGTTACGAATAAAATATATCCAATAGGTAAAGGGTAAAAATGTCAATTTAAAAAATTATTGTTTTGCCTTCACTTTTTTCCTCCATTTTTTGTCCAAATTTAAGCTAAAAATATTTGGTAAGCTAAAAAGATAGAGGTCCCTCTCCCTCTTACTTTCTACTCTCTCATATTTTCTTTTGATACTAAACCATGGAGACATTTTTCCTCCCTGACATTCCTTTTAACCTTTTTTCTACTGTACCAAACAAACTAGGAATATCTTTTATTAGAACATATTTTTAACTTTTAAATAATTAAATTTTAGTTATTTTTAAATTTTACATCTCTTGTAGTTGTTGGAGATGCTCCTGGTCGGGTAGGCTCCGATGACTTCGCCTTAGAAGGGAATTAAAAGAGGAAACATGTTGTGTGTGATTATTATAATGATGTTACATGGTACCATTTGTCATGTGTAAGGGGAAACATGGTGTCGATGATCATTATAATGATGTTACATGGTAACATCAATTGAAACTAACTTAAAATATAATTATTCTAGTAAACTAAATCTAGGAATCTGAAGAACTTAACTTATCACAATAAAATTATCCAAACTACCAAATCAAAATAATTTAGTCTAATTATAATGGATAACTACAAGTCTCAATTCCAATTCTACAAATAAAAATAAAACAAATGAGACGACTACAAGTCCTAATTCCAAATCAACATATAAAAATAAAACACTAGAGAGGACTACAAATCCAAATATTAATTAAATATATATAAAAAATAAATCATAGAAGAGGACTATAAACCCCAATTTTATTTCAACATAAAAAATAAATACAGGACTACAAATCCTAGTTTCAATTCAATGCATAAAAAATAAAATAAAAGAGATGATTATAAGCCCCAATTTCATATTTTCAATTCAACATGTAAACATAAAACAAAGAAGAGGGCTACAAGCCCCAAATTTAGTTCAACGTATAAACATAAAATTATACTTAGTCCCCAATTTTTTTTAAAATTTCAATGGGGCAGCTAGATCCGCCACTGAGTCTATTGATAGAAGTCCAGCTAAAGCAAATGATTTCCTATGTGAGTGAACTGTTGTTTATATTTAAGTATTAATTTGTAGACATATAATTAATACATTGTGACTTGAATCTCAAGCCTTCAAATCGGGTACATACTATTTACATGAAAGAATAAAATTATATACATTTAATATTTCTTAAACAATAATTACTGCATGTTAATCGGACAATGTAATTATTCTTGTCATAACTAATGCTTGAAGACATGAGAAAATATAAAGTTTGAGCGCTTAAAAAATTGATTCCCGAGTATATGAAATAAAAAAATTTCATTCCTTCATAACATAATTTGAAATTATTTTTACCCCTTAGTTTTAAAAAAATTGAAAAGTTTTCTCAAAATACATGACGTTAAAAAAATCAATGTGTATAATATCATATATGAATAATGTCTAAAATAAAAATTATATTAAGTCATAAATTAATTAAAAATAAAATAATTTAACTTGTGATAGAAATAAGTGATGTAATAAAAATTGTCAAAAAAATATATGAGATATATTTTCAAATTATTAACTCTCTCTTATTAGATAGACAGAAGTTTGATTTTGCAAGGTGTTTTTATATGGGTCGAGTGATTAAAGTTTGATTTGTCAAGTCATTTTCTCGTTGGAATAGATTCTTGGTAATGGTTTGAATTCTTGCATATTCAAATTTAAAAAAAGAAAACTCTTCTTTGTTTGAAAATAGGTTTGATTTGCTTCACCTACGAGAATTTCTACTAATTCTTGTTTTATTCGTCAAAGCTCATCACCTTGGGCTTCCCTATCCATGTGGCCGGCCAATCCGTGACAACCCCACAACTCTTGAATGCTTGATGACTGATCTGATAGCCATTTCATGGTATAGCTTGACAGCAAATAGGTTTTCTTTGTTACAAAGTCTTTAAATTTAAGTCGATTATTCTTTTAAACACATGATTGATAGGTATGATGTATCCAAAAGTTTGTATCAATCAAACAGGTTTCGGTCGGTTTGTATTTTAATCCCAATAATTATAAGCCATGATGTAATGTAACCAACGATTTGTATCAACCAAAACACAACGGCTACGTTATGCAAAGACCTCTCTCTCTCTGCATCATTTGAAAAATAAATCATTGGATTCGGTTGCCTTCAAAGTGGCCCCTCACAACCAAAAGAAAATGTGGCCCCTCCACTAAGCTTGGTAATTTTGAACACAACTCATAAACACCATACAAAATTGATGTACAATTAAATTCAGTATTAGCAAGTTTTATGATAGATAAATGGGTCAATTACTGTGAACTTGAGGTCAACTGCACATCATCCTTTCAATAATTACGAGTTGCACTTAACTCCCTCTTACTTGTGAATAAAGTGAAAATTTAACAGGATTTGCTGATTGTACATGTGTTATGAAATAAATAATTTATTTCCTAAATTAAAAAGATATATTACCAGTTTTACCTTTCATCCAAATTTTCAGCCCCTTTCTTTCTCCAGCCTCTTCACCGGCGCAATTCACACCACCACTACAACTGCTGCCCCCTTCTTTCTTCTCTCTAACCCCATAGTTGTTGCAACTTCCCCACCCAAACAACTCACGTTGTTATAACTCCCTCACTCAACCTTCCCAATGTCAATACCACTCAACCACCTAACCCACCCATAACCACTACGATTCCCCTACCCAAACCCACCCCCACACTGATGCAACTTTTCTAACTCACAGCCACGACGATTCTCCCACCTCTCGCTGTTGCAAATCTCCCATCTTTATAGCCGTTGCAAATCCCCCGAAATTCGCATCCGAATTGAACAACCTTTTAATTTTAGACCAATCTTTGATTCTAGTTTTGATTTGAATGTTATTTTTTTGAGTTTGATTATGGTTTTTGACGCAATGAATGTGCAATGGTAATGTGTTGGTGGATGTTGTGTGGGAGGGGTGTGCCAGAGGAGCTTTGAGCTTTTGACTATTGTGTCAATGGGGTTTTGTGGTATTTGGGTTGGTTATGGAAAGGGGAGTTTCTACTGGGGTGGGGCAGTGATGGTGGCTCTGGTGGGGGTAGGGCAGTTGTTGTTGTTGAGAGAGGGGCGTGCCTATTTTTTGGGGGTAAGTCGTTGGAATGGATGGCATTACAATGGAAATTAAAAGAAAAATAGAGGGCTTTTTTGTCTTTTACAAAAAATCGTTAGGTCTATACAACGATTTTAAATTTAACTGATCTTAAATTTAAGACGATTTTACCCCAAAATAAATTGACCCACCAAACATAAAGATCAATGTGAATTTAACTAATTATGATTTAATTACAACTTATGCATAACACAAATCAAATTTGAGTATACAAAATTTAACATGGAAGTTTCTCAGAAATCCAACAAAATTAACATGGAAGTTTTGTCACATCCAGGGTGTGGGTTCCACTCCAGCGGCAGCACCACGGGGCCTGTCATAACGAGTGGAGCCTTCTGTGAGTCGTGACCCACTACTAGGTTATGTTACTTTTGGACACGTCCATGTGGCCGTGGTCCCTCTACCGTAAGTATCTAGGAGTGGAATAATCCATGTCTTAGTCGATTATTGCGCTTGATTCACATAAGATCACCGTACTATGTGCACTGTGGGCAGGATAGCCGAGTTCTTATGGTTCAATAACAAGGTAATAAATAGAGATGTGAATTCATCGGAATAACTACCCATCCATATAATGCAATAACTATTCCATGTATAGAAATAAGAAACACTTTATCCATTGGGTTTTGAGCAATTCTATTTGAGCCTTATTTACTGAAGTAATTATTTCTTATCATTGGATTGATAGTGAACTCTAGTATATATTGAGATCCATAAATAATTTAATAGTTGTGATAAACTAGATCAACAAATTATATGAATAAATAAATTTCAAATAATATTATTATTTGATTATTTCTCTTTGATACCATGTAACGATAATAACATAATATTACCATTAGATCACAAGATGCGGCTAATTCCGCTACGCCCGTTGATGATAAGAAACATCCAAAAAGGACTAAAAGCTATATTAGCCCAACTATTGTCAATATTTTTTTTGGGATTAATTATTCTTTTCACCCGTAAAGTATTGCCCGATATTCATTCAGGACTTTAAACTGTGTGTGAATTTTATCTTCAAGTTTTCGACATTGGTCATGTCATATTTAATTCGAATTCCGACCAAAACATATCCCCGAGAACTAAATTTCATTTTGAAATTGTCAAAATGTTAGAAACATTTCTGTTTCCGTGGAAATCGAAACAAGAAAACAGAAACAAATCATTGATTGAATATCAAAATTCTTATATTTTTGGATGTTTCAATAAGTTTCGAGGTGTTTCGGAATATTTTGACGAACATTTCAAAAATAAATTTTAAATTTTTCTTTGTTTTCATGTGGTTTCCAAAATATTTTCAAAACATTACTAAAACATTTCTGTTTTCAAACATACCAAAACTATACACCTAAACAAAATTTTAATCCTTAAACACAACTTATCTCTAAATGAATTCCCACAATAGCATAACCAAGCAAACCTAATCATAAAAGGTCAGAGAAACAGACTAGCTAAATTGTGGCTAAAGAAAAATTCAAATCGATTTAGCATTTAGAGCCTAAATGTAGAGCCAACTCTAACCCTCATAAAAGTTCAACTGGCGTAAAATTAGTCAAGAAATTGAATGCAACGAGGCCTGGTTATTCATAGCATGCTTGTTACGTGCACACTTTTGAGGAATTTAGAAAATAAACAAAAAATAAAATTGGAGAATAAAACCTGCTTCGAGGAGGTGAAAACCTCCAATGGCTAAATTCAAGAAACTCCGAATCTCCAAAACTTCAACAAGAAAGTTCAATACAATATTCAACATATTCATTTCATTGATAGAAAAACCTTTAAATACAAGATAATAAAACTATCTTAATAACTAACTTGACCCATGACTCCACTTTCTTAATAATCCTGTAAGAAGCTACCTACAAAAATACTCCACTACTAACTTATTTGCAGAAATAACTCCCTAATAACTACATCAAATATTACATAAAAATATATTAAAAATATGTAGATAACAATGCTCAAAAAAGTGAACATGAAGCTTCAGGACACGGGTTTACCCTTAAGGAATTCAAATCATAAATTGGGTTGACTTGTTAAACCCACTTAATAAATAGACCACACATGAACCGAGCTTATTTTGACCTGAGTTACACGACCTAAACACAATAATGCCTTGACACGAAGTCACATTGTATAGGTTTATCGTATCAGTTTCGGGTCATAATCAAGTTGACTCGTCAGATCCATTCAATAAATGGATTGTGTGCAATCATAACACAGTAGAGGTACAATGTGTCTATATTCACCACATCTTACTTAAATGGTGGAGTAGGAAATCAAGACTGTAGAATCCAAAAGTATGGACAAACAACATTGAAAAAGCAGGTAATTAGAGGATCAAACCTTGAGCTGGTGCAGGCTTAGAAGGATGCTGCTCACTTAAATCAGAAGCTTTAGGAGACTCGGATAGGTGAACCTGAGCAAAGTCATCAACCATTTTCCTTCTCTGTTCATCTTCAGCAATTCCCACCTTCTCTTTCGTCTTCTGACTGACTTCGCCTGCTGCCTTAGCAACTTTATTAAACGCACCTGTTACCCAAGAAGCCCCAGTAAAGACGTACTTGTTCTTCATTATGGCCGACCCAGCACCACTGACTGTTTGCTCGGCTGTTGAAAATGCCGATTTGGCTTTCTCAGAAACCTGGAGTTTCTGATCCACTCCCCGAACTTTGTCATTCACCATTGAAGTACCAACGCTCACCTTCTCACTAAACCCAATTTTTTTGTCAAAAGAGGAAACTTTAGCACTTGCTGTTGAGGTCAACTGGTGCTTCTCGTCGAATGACTTAGCCTTGTTGACGGCATCTTTACCTAAGACAAAACCCTTGGCAAGCATGCCACTGACTACATCTTCTGCCTTTTGAAAAGCCGATTGAGCACCACCTGGAGTTTTGTTTTCTGTTGCCTGCAGAGATATGAGCAACTACGAGGTCTTAAATACTTGTGTGGTAGCAAAGTAAATCATAAGCTATAAAATGATTTCTTACAAGGTGTGGTTCTGAAGCAGCAGCCGGAAGCCGGTAATCTGGATCCAGAGTAACGGTGACAGACATATTGACTATTGTTGCACCCTGAATAGCACCATAGGCTTAAGTGAAAATCGTTAAAATAGTGGAGAATGTGGAGATACACTATATATAGTCTATAGAACTAGGGATAGAATGATATCAAATAGAATAACTGATATTGTATGTGATAATGTCACAATATATAAATGTCTAGAAAAACACATTAAATGAAGTTATCTGAATCTATGAGAATGGCACTAACGAAGGTTGCCATATAGTATATACCATGGAATTAGTGATAGAGATGCTATCAAACAAAATAACTAATTATATAAGTAATAGTGACACAAATACCAATGCTTCATTGAACAAATCACTTCTTCCTCCTTTGCCAAAAACCTTGTTTTTCTTCTTAAAGAGAGAAATATGGCGGAAGAAGGGGTAGCCCGGGGGGAGGGTGTTTGGCTGCCCATGTCCCTCAGATGGTGTTCGGGGATATTGGAAAAAGCCTTTCAGATACAATAATGAAAGAGCACTGTTGCACTTCCACAACATGGGAAAGGTCATAACAAAATAACTAATTATATAATCCTAGCACCAACAAACTGCCAACCTGTGTGGAATATCTTGTCCCACACCTCCTTCTCCATATTAGTAAGAGTCTCCTCCTATTTCAAAAATAAAAAAGAATTACTATTCTAGCTATTCCAGAAACAACATATTCTTATTCGTGGCTTCAAGCTTCCCAAAACTTGGCAATCCTGCTGCTCTAGCTTAGTTATCACTTTGTGGTGTCTTAATTCAGGTCCTTCGTGACTAATCCTCCAGAATGTAACATATTTTAACAGAGAAGTAGGCCTAAAGAGATTAATGCTTAAAATGCATCACAAGGAAGGCAGCTTATCAAGTGAAAAAGGCAAATTTCCTCCTTAACGTTTGAGCACATGTATGAAACACGATCATAGACTACATTCCAAAGTGAACATGTACTAAAAGAAATTTTGTTCAAGCAAAGATGCTGGAACCTGTTTATTTTCATCATTTCATCTCACATTTTGGATTATCAATCAGGTGTACCAGAAAAATGAACATCGAGGGTAAAGTATATAAGAGAAAAGANCTAATCCTCCAGAATGTAACATATTTTAACAGAGAAGTAGGCCTAAAGAGATTAATGCTTAAAATGCATCACAAGGAAGGCAGCTTATCAAGCGAAAAAGGCAAATTTCCTCCTTAACGTTTGAGCACATGTATGAAACACGATCATAGACTACATTCCAAAGTGAACAAGTACTAAAAGAAATTTTGTTCAAGCAAAGATGCTGGAACCTGTTTATTTTCATCATTTCATCTCACATTTTGGATTACCAATCAGGTGTACCAGAAAAATGAACATCGAGGGTAAAGTATATAAGAGAAAAGAGATGTAAAACTTAGTATGACATAATGAGAAGTGAAATTACCGAAAGAAGAACCGCAGTCTCTGCTCCTTGTGTATCCTTGAAGGTTACAAATGCAATTTGAGACAGCTCTGTGTCACTGAGTAACCATAAGATAATATTGGCATTAATCTAATAAAGAAAATGATAAAGTGGAAGGAAATTTTCAGATACTAACCTCTGCAGCTCAACATATTCAATATCACCAGAAAAAGAAAAGAACTCCCTGATATCTTGCTCAGATGCCCCTAAGGAAACATTACTGACTTTGGCAGTTCTTATCTGCTGGAAAGGCCTAACTCGTTAGCATATTTGGGGCGGTGGTTCCATTATTTGGACAAAATTTATGATTCATGCAATCCAAGGAAAGATTATGATCATGGCTACATTTGAAAAAAACATGGTCGTTATTTCAAAAACATCATTTTGATGAACAAATCAAGATTTTTTCTACATAACAACCACTAACACCATCAGGATTTATAAAATTATGTTTCCACAAGCACAAGCTCTGAAAAAATTGTGTTATGTAATCCAAGGAGTTTTTCTGCAGAAATTCTACTCGAGCTTTATCAAACAACAATGTCCTTTCAACAGTTGCCTAATTGGCAAGGTTTTTGGGGCCAATCTTATGCAGCTTTTACACTGTTACAACTTACAACTAACTCAGAGATTCTAGAATGACAACTACATCAATCAAAAAGGTCACCAATTAATGCGAAAGCTTTCTACATTTCATTTCATAAAAGAAGGATAATCAATGTTATAAAATTTGAATCGTTGAAACAATGGAAACAAGGCTACGATGACTACAGAACTATAGGAATGCGCTATGCAAATGACATAATCAACAAGTAGAAACTTCGTAGGCTCACTTCCATGAAGATCTATCAATTTCTCAGCGGGATGTTTCTTTCAATAAGCAACAACTTAATGGACATCAATGCCAACAATTTTCACAGGAGTATTTCACCTATCTCTTAGTTACTAATCTTTGTCCAATAATATATTCCAAATACATTTCCTACGTAAATACATTAGATTGGAGTATATAGAAGAACGAAAGAGGATTACACAAAAAATCAATGTTATAGGCACAAAAAAAAAAACAGATCTCTGCCAATTCAATAGTAATTCGACACTGACCTCAAATTCAACATCAGATGTAAGCACACAACAATTAATTGTAGCTCGATATTTTCATGACCCAATCAATAAAGTTAACAGCACGAAACACTTCAATCAAATACATACATATATATAACATTGAATCCTATGCCAAAGGCCCAAAACGAGAGAGGATTGCGTTAAAACAGAAACAGATCTATAACACTCCAATTTTAATACCACGCTAAGCTCAAAATCAACATGAAATGTAAGCACACAGCAATTATATATACCTCGTATAATCTCCCGAAATAATGAATCAAGGAGAACAATACAAAGCACTCTAATCAAATACATGGCTATATATGCACACATATATGTGTGTGTGTGTAGATATATGGCACAAAAGAAACGCAAATGTGTAGAGAGAGAAAGGTGAATGATCAGAACTGACCGACATCGCAGCTGAATGAAGTGCTACTCTGAGTGAAATGGAAGGAAAAAGATCGATAGGTATAAATGCAGAGAGAGACAGATTGGGGGAAGCGTTGCGGAGGAATTAGATGCAGGCGAACGGCGAGGCGTCGACGTGATTAACGGTTATGGTCCGCGTGAAAGCGGATATTATATCTTAAGAAGGATTTTTCAGACTCTGTACCTTGAAAGTTTTTAAATTTTTTGCTTTGTATTTTAGAAGATTTTTCTTGAATTGTATTATCAATGTATTAGTACTATAATATCGCTTTTTTGTTAGTTTTTATTATTTTTTTTGTCAAAANATTACACAAAAAATCAATGTTATAGGCACAAAAAAAAAAACAGATCTCTGCCAATTCAATAGTAATTCGACACTAACCTCAAATTNGATTACACAAAAAATCAATGTTATAGGCACAAAAAAAAAAACAGATCTCTGCCAATTCAATAGTAATTCGACACTGACCTCAAATTCAACATCAGATGTAAGCACACAACAATTAATTGTAGCTCGATATTTTCATGACCCAATCAATAAAGTTAACAGCACGAAACACTTCAATCAAATACATACATATATATAACATTGAATCCTATGCCAAAGGCCCAAAACGAGAGAGGATTGCGTTAAAACAGAAACAGATCTATAACACTCCAATTTTAATACCACGCTAAGCTCAAAATCAACATGAAATGTAAGCACACAGCAATTATATATACCTCGTATAATCTCCCGAAATAATGAATCAAGGAGAACAATACAAAGCACTCTAATCAAATACATGGCTATATATGCACACATATATGTGTGTGTGTGTAGATATATGGCACAAAAGAAACGCAAATGTGTTGAGAGAGAAAGGTGAATGATCAGAACTGACCGACATCGCAGCTGAATGAAGTGCTATTCTGAGTGAAATGGGAGGAAAAAGATCGATAGGTATAAATGCAGAGAGAGACAGATTGGGGGAAGCGTTGCGGAGGAATTAGATGCAGGCGAACGGCGTGGCGTCGACGTGATTAACGGTTATGGTCCGCGTGAAAGCGGATATTATATCTTAAGAAGGATTTTTCAGACTCTGTACCTTGAAAGTTTTTAAATTTTTTGCTTTGTATTTTAGAAGATTTTTCTTGAATTGTATTATCAATGTATTAGTACTATAATATCGCTTTTTTGTTAGTTTTTATTATTTTTTTTGTCAAAATTTAATCGCACTGAAAAAAAAAATCACATTATAATATTTTTGATACATTAAAAGTTAAATTTAAAAAATTTAATCTTGTAAGTATAAAATAAGAATTTTAAAATGTTTCAAAATTTAAAGTGCAATTTGTTCTCATTAATAAATTATAATAAAAATATTATATATTATATACTATAGCTATTAAATTCTCTACAATCTACCTATATAAGGTTGTGCCATTTCATATGGCCAATTCATGATTTTAAGATAAATAGAGAGAGTGAGAAGAGATAAAATATATATTAAATAAATTAATTTGACGATTTCAAATAAATTTGATTATTAATACCTTTTTTAAAACTAGTAACATCACACCATTCTATTTTAGTGAGAAAATAAACAAGTACGGAAGGTTGTGAAATTGAACGATGAGAGAGGGCTCCTTCCTAAGACGTCGTTTCACGTGGTACAATTTTGATTGATTATATGGGAGACCTTTGCGTTTGTCGAGGAAGCAAGATTGGTCCCACCATAATTTGTCTTGAAAATGGGGTCCGTTCATGTCCAAAAAATGGTATTGATTTATTTGGGTTTTAGATATTATTGTTTTTTATTTTAAATATTATTATTATTATTATTTTATTTTTAAAATATTAATATTTTTTATTTTAAATATTACTATTTTTCTCTCATATATATATATATATATATTAATGAGCACTCCATATGAAACAAAAAATTTATTATTTTTTATCATACCTTTACGGCCAAACCTTGTGCAATCATAATACTACTGGATAATTTCAATTAGTGTTAAAATGATATTTATTTTTATTTTAAATAATTAAAATAATGATTAAAATTTAAATTTTAAAGTAATTTAAAAAAATATTAAGAGTGATTACAAAAGATACAAGTAATATTTTGATTAGAATTAATTAATTAAATATTTTAAAATTTTAATAATTTAATATTTAGAAAAGAAAGCATTTTCAATGCTCTCATCTCTAATTTATTTATTTTATAATATAGTGGAATTTACTACACTAGAGAATTTTAAAATAATGAAATTTATTAAATTTATTTATTATTTTATAATTAATCGATAAATATCATCAATTACACCGAATATTTACTCTTCCATTTCCAAAATTCTCATTCATCCATCAATTTTCACCTCAATTATCGGACTCTTTTCCGCAACCTTTTTGCGCCTCCAACCCTATCACCCTCCAATTCACTGCTGGAAGTTTCCCCCAATAACCTAAATTCCTCCAACCCAATTTCTAGGGTTTTCGGAAATTTCCAGTCCTCTCTCTCTCTCTCTCTCTCTCTATACGTATATTTATATTGAAAAAAAAATTGAATTCTCTCTGTACTGTTTGTTGGAGAATAGTTAGGGTTTGGGAGGTATGAGCTTTCAAGACCTTGAATCGGGAAGGGCATTGGGTTCGCGGAGGGATTACATCAATGGCAAACAAGACCCAACGCAAGCCGTGGCTTCGGGAATTTTTCAGATCAATACTGCGGTCTCAACGTTTCAGAGGCTTGTGAATACCCTTGGAACGCCGAAGGACACGCCTGAGCTCCGTGAGAAGTTGTGAGTGCTCATCTGTCTTCAATTGTGTCGAATATGTTGTTTGATTTGCTGGGATGATCCTGAATTGTCGAATTTTTGGTTTGATTTGTCGGAATTGGCATTTTTTTGAGTGAATGGCTTTAATTGACATGTTCTTGTGGTGGGTTTGACTGGGTTGAATTTCGTTTTTATTGGTTCTGCTTATGTATATTTGCTTCTGATTGGATATGAACGAGTTTAGAACGATACTGTAGTGGCGTTTCCTGCCATGTTAATATTTGTCTGATAAGTAAATTATTTGGAGGCAGATAGATGAACTGCGAATGGAAATTTGTGGGAAGCTATGTATTGATTCAAAATTAACAGGAAAATACTGGTATATAAATTCTGGTTTGTCTTAGTGAATTTTTTAATTAAGTGGATATCCTGCTATAGCTTGAGATTCACGGTTCAAGTTTGTTGCTTTTGAATTATAGCTGCATTTATGAGAATATCATCCGCTCTATTGATGGATAAACTTAATAGAAGATGAAACAGATGGAAATTTTTAAATTTCTTGATGAAGGAATAATGGGAAGAGATAAATATGCGTAGAATTTGATGCTTTATAGTTATAATAGTTATACATTTGATTATTTTCCCTTTCGAACATTGGCTATGAGATGCTCGTTGCATGGCGGGCTTTCGTCTTCTTAATGGACTCTACACTGGTTTTGTACAACTGGCAGGCACAAGACAAGGCTACATATTGGGCAACTGGTGAAGGATACATCAGCAAAACTTAAGCAAGCTAGTGAAACAGATCATCGCGTTGACGTTAGTGTAAGTTTGTTCTTGAGGTCTCTGTCTATATTGTTTGGAACTAGTTCACTACATTTCTCGTAATCACCTTGCCTCATCCTTTTATGTTTCAATTCACGGAAGTTCCTTGTATTGTCCCCCACAATTATAAATGGGTTATGTTTGAGATAATTTGAGATGTTGTGTACCTACAAACACATGTGGTTGTTAATGGAAGTCCTTTGTAGTCAATTCTTTTATTAGCTTAATAGTTTTAGTTTAATATGACTAGTGGTTGAAATGTCCCTCTTTGGGTATGTGATGCTTAATGCCTTCCTTTTACCTGCAGGCCAACAAGAAAATTACAGATGCTAAACTTGCAAAAGATTTTCAAGCAGTTTTGAAAGAGTTTCAGAAGGCTCAGCGGCTCGCAGCTGAGAGAGAAACAGCATATACTCCTTTTGTTCCTCAAGCTGTTCTTCCTTCCAGGTAATCATAGTTAAGGACGTTGTGGTCATATGGTTAGGATCAGAAGTGTTTATTTGTATGGGAATGTTCAAGGGAATGCTTTCAATGAGTAGCAAAGGGAAGTTTGCCAACTTCAATTACTAAATATGAGCATTTCCAGAAATCTTCTGGACAAATCGCCGGAGTGATTAGTTGATACTATTGTTGTTGTTCTAGGGTTCTCTGGAATTTCTCTCTCTCAGTTTTCTATGTTGCTTATCGGTTGGCATTAATTGTTTTTCTGTGAACAGCTATACAGCCAATGAGATTGATATATCATCAGATAAGAGTCTTGAACAGCGTGCTCTTCTTGTGGAATCAAGAAGGTGAGTTCTGCTCACATTGTTATGCTGTGCAGGTATATTTATGTTCCTATTAGATTGATATGCATTGAACTTCTCCAAAATTAAGATACCTCTTTCTCTGATTGATGCTTTTCCTCATTATTGTTCACAAAATTCCATCTGGACAGATTTTTTTTTTTTTTTTGATCTTTAGGATGACATTATCCAAGTGCTTTCTATGCTGATGAATTTTGCTGAATGGAGGAGAAAAAAAGAAAAAGGCGGGGTCAATGATGCTATGCATGACATTGTTGTGCTTGACTTTGTGTTTCAGTGACACTACTATAGACGAAGCTCCTATTGTGCTTCATGTTTCCCTCTGCTGCGTGATTTCTGTTATAACTCTGTTATCTGTCGAGTTAAGATGTTGGGTATACTCGAAAGCTTATACCAGGAAAGCTGATGTGTCAAAACTGTTGAATAGTATTTAATGACATGTTTCTTCACACTGAAATTTCGAAAGGCAATGTTCCTCATTTCCTTTTCGTAAAGATACCTTCCATACGAACAAAAAAATAGTCAAAACTTAAAGAGACTGACTTCTTATTATTTGCTCTCCAAAAAACTCCCAGCCTCTCACCTTAATTCAAATCTTTTACAGGAGGACAGCAATGCCATTTCTGAACGTTGTTCCAAATGCTACACCTATGAATATCATTTTCTCTCTCTTGCCTATTCTTACATTGTCGAAGCACAAATAATTTGTTCTTTGTCATCGCTTTCTTTTGCTCTTCCCTTCTTTACCGTCCTTTTACAAGCCTCTTCTCCTTCTCCCTCCAACAATCTTCCCTGTCTACACTACTGATATAGACCGAATTACTTATAGACTTAGACACACACATTGCATGTGAGAATGTGTCATACTTTTATTAGCCACCTCCGTCTCATTCAACGACATAATACCAATGACAATAACAAATTAAATCGATCTATTACAATGGCACCTTGATGCATTTAAGATGTTGGCTGTTCGAATTGATTTTGCACAAGCCATGGGCGACAAACTCGACGTGCGGAAGCCCTCCCTTGCCAATATAGCTTTCTCATTTCTATGTGAACTCATTAGCTAGTAAATACCCGTGTTTCTTCCTTCTAAGCAGGATCGAGTTGAAGATTTGAGAGTTCAATTCAAAGCTTAAGGATGTGAGTCGAGTCAATTTCGCTTGGTTGTTGAGGAAGGAAGAAAGAAAACAGAGAGAGAGAGAGAGATGATGGTACAGAGATCAGTAGGGGGGGGGGGAGATACAATAGCTTTTCTTTATTTATTGGGACACGAATAACAGCTGCATGACTTTGATGGTTTTCAGGGCTAGACTTTCAATTATGGGCTAAATGCTGCATTCACATTATATTATGTTATTTGATCAAAAGTAGACAGCTTCTTCAGATGATACAGTTCCTCTAGGTTAATGCCCCATAACTTGTTTGACTGAAATGCACCTCAAATTTGATTTTCACCATACTTCAGTGAACGTCCAATTAATTAGTAGACTCATCAGTTGTACTCTCCTAAACTTTCATGTGATTTGTGCTGCAGACAAGAGGTTTTGCTATTGGACAATGAGATTGTCTTCAATGAGGCTATTATTGAGGAAAGAGAGCAGGGAATACAAGAAATCCAGCACCAAATTGGTGAGGTGAACGAGATTTTCAAAGATCTTGCAGTGCTGGTTCACGAGCAAGGAGCTATGATTGGTAACTCAGGCCTTCTTCTCTGGGACCGCTTTATGTATTTTAAATATGCCTGCTTCACACTACCTAATGACCATAAAAATTGTTTCAGATGATATTGGCTCCAACATTGAGGGTGCTCATGCCGCAACTGCACAGGGAAAATCCCAACTTGCCAAAGCAGCAAAGACCCAAAGATCAAACTCGTCTCTGGTAATCTATAAGACTTCCTAATTCTTTATTTGGTAGGGGAAATAAACAAATGCGATAGGGTGAGGGTACCCGGTACCATAAATTGCGCGTGTTGTTTCTAAAGATTGCACTTCAATAGTCTCTAATGAACTTGTAATTTGAAAATAATGTTGATCAATCAAGATTATGAATTATAGAAGGTGAAAGGGGGGTGTGATTAGTTCCATTATCACAGCGTAAAGATGTTGCTTGGTTATTGCTACCATAGCGAGTCTCAGTCCACTGTGTTGGCAACTCAAAAGGAGCTCAATCATACGCCTTGGTCTTTTCTTTGATGGGTCGTGAGGCACCTTTTGCTTTGTGGAACCCATTAAATGTTTTTAGAACGAACTGACACAATGAAAAAATGTCAACTTTAAAAGCCAAGGGTGTAGTTTCACCATTGTGTGTTTTTAATGCATGTCACTTTGTTGCTATTTAGTATGTTTATCTTGTTGAACTGTTCACCATTAAATTAATGTATCTAGTTGAACTTGAGATGTACCCGGTGTGGTTGTGCACTGATAGATTAATACCAGGAATCATACGAAGAGTTGTGATCCATCTTCTCCATCATGCATATATCTGATGAAACAGTTTTAAATTTTCATGCAATCAGCAGTTTTTTTGAATGTTGATCTTTGATGCAGACATGCTTGCTCCTTGTGATTTTCGGCATTGTGCTTCTCATTGTCGTCATAGTACTTGCAGCCTAATCAGGAAATTGTTTTCAGACCATGACAAAGACAACTCAGAATATGTTCGGCAACGGGAGAGTGATCTCTTAGCTGATCTTTGTTGTTTTATTGTGTTTACAATGCATTGTTGATCATCAGATTCTCTACCTCCAGTTCAATTTATATGACAATTGACTTGTGGTGGCGTTAAGTGGCTTTAATTTGGGGGTTGGGTGTGTGTTCTAGTTTGTAAATTGGTGTTTGGGTTTTGAGGGTGTGTTCCCTGCTTCTTAGCTACTGGCTGATTTGTATCTCTATCAATGGAATTCAAGTTCTACTGGGGGGTCATTGTCCTCCGTTTCGGAACATGGTGCCGTCTATTTTTACGTTAATTGATGACAGTAAACTATGACAATGTCCTTGATAAGAATGTTTGGAGCTTTATTTGAATTTGTACATGATTTGTACATTGCCTTGCTTTATTTCAAAAGTTTTTAAAAAATGGTTAATTACACTGAAAACCCTCAAAGTATAGTTTGTCTCATTTTAGTCTTTAATATCTTAATTATATCATTTTAGTTTATGAAGGATTGAGTATATTTATTTATAGTTTCTCAAGTAGATAGGGTTTAGATTGTTAATAATTTTTTATTATAAATTGACATGTAAAATCTAAATATGAGTAAAAAAATAATTTGGATAATTATTGACTAAGTTAAATAATTAGGAATTAAAAAATAAATAGACGATTAAACAGAAACAAAACGATAGATTATATTGTAATGTTTTTATTCCTTTGAGTTTTTTATATCTTTTAGGGGCAAAATGGAATTTACCCTAAAAATGAAGAGGATGAAAGATTGGCATGACGAAGTCCAACCAGAATGAAAGATAGCCGTTGAACTCAATACTGAGCCCTAAAAATGATGATTAATATGCTAAGCTCCATTCAACAATGTAAGGCATAACCAACCAGCTCTTCTGAAAACCCACTGTTGTCTTTTGTCACAAAAGGGTGAACGAGAAGCTCCTTCACAGTTCCTCTCATCCTCCAATCCTTCTCCAAACACCTCCACACAAAATTCCGGAACTCCGGTGAGGCCGTCTCCGGCATCTGTACTCTCTCTCCGAAGCAAATTGCACACATTAGTGTTGTCCAATCTGGTTTTTGTTCTTGACCGATCAACGGAAAATGACCCACATGGCATTCCAACACCACCACTCCGAGGGACCACACATCTCCTGCGAACCCATCGGAACAATCTCCGTTCCACCCCTCCGGATCAAATCTTTCTGGACTCATGTATGCACACGTACCCATACTCGAGTCTCGCTCTCTAGCAGTGCATCTCCCAACTCGACTCACCCCAAAGTCTGCAATCTTTATTTCTCCTTTGTTGTTAATCAGTAAATTTGATGGTTTTATGTCCCTATGCACTATCTGCATGGAATGCAGATAGTTTAGTCCTTCCAAGACACGTTGTGCCATGACGGAGATGAGTTTTTCCGGTAATCTCCGGCGTGTACGCAAGACGTCGTGTAGTGATCCTGCTTCCATGTACTCCATGATGAAGCAAAGATCACCACCTCCATATATATCAGTGAACCCATGATCGAAAACACCATGACACCTCACGACAAACTGCGAGTCAACTTGTCTGAGAATCTCAGCCTCTTGTGCCGCCTGCTGTTCGGCCATCGCCGCTACATCTTTGCCAAACCGGAGGACTTTCAGTGCATACACTGCAGAAGTTTTCCGGTGGCGGACTTTGTAGACTGTGCCTCCACTACCGTGGCCTAAAATCACCAGTTTCTCGAGGTCGGAGAGGTTGTCAGTGCCACAAGAGTTTGAAGTTGAGAATGACAATGGTGAAGGTGACAGGGTACGGTTCCAGAGATCAGCCTCTGGGGTTGGAAGTGGTAAGGGTAGCCTCAAGGCTTCCTGGTGCCTTCTCTCTCTTACCAAAGTCTTGTACACAGACATACTACTCTCTCATGGAACCTCCCTCTCTCTATCTCTCTCTCTCTACATCAACCTATATATAGACATATAAGCTTCAGGACCATATTGGACCGAGACGTGGATGACTGGAGACAATAGGAAGGTGACAGATGGAGATGAGGATCAAAAAATTCAGGGCAGGTGAGCTTTTCTTGGCGGTGAAATCAGCTCCTATATTTGGCTGTGAGTGGACTTAGGTTTTACAGTGAGTTTACGAAGTGCCATGTGTTTTTTTCATTCTAATTATCACTAAATTGTTTGGTTCCATGGCTAATGTTAAACATGTGATTAATTATCAAAGCGACTGTTTCGCGGTACTTAACAATAAATCAGTTTTTTTGTTTAGGATTAACACACCCACCAGGCACAACTAACTGTATATATACTTCATGAGTGAGATTACAAGGCAAGGATTGTAACTAAAACCTACAATTAAGGATTGCATTAGCCAGCCTATCTCAATATATCAGGACTAACAAAGCAGATTTGGTGGCAAAATCAAGTAACAACCAAGTTTCGACGGGTGGTTGTAATTACATATAAGGATAGAAATTAAAAGAAGCAACCGAGTAATCCCAATCCCAAGGAGTAGACGAACTATAAATCCAGATGTTTTTAAGTTTTCTAATCCCAACGTAGATATAAGAGCCTTTTGACCGGACTAAAAAAAGAATTAGTCGAGGTACACATAACTTAAGCTAGCTCGGACATCTTGACCGATTTACCATTATGATATTCTCTAATCAAGTAAATTTGTGAAAAATTCTTCTCCTCCTACCCCCACCCCCTCTTCGTCTTTGATGCTGTCAAAAGTAAAATAAACTTTCAGCAAAGAAGCATATTATTATCTGCCAAAACGAGAACAACACTACATTTTTCTTAGACAACAGTTATACTACAAAAATCCAAAATCGATATGTAAGAAGGTAAAGGTCGGGCTCAAGTCTAGACCCCCTCCTTGACTCCATCCTACCCTTACAAAACTTGGGCTAAGGGTCTTAGATTCTGTATATGTATTGATATTCTAAATCCATATACTGAGAGAGAGAGAGAGAGAGAGAGAGAGCATCTGTACTGTAGATGACCCATTTGAACAAAGCAAACATTTATCCAGAACAAAACATCAAAGTCGAAAAAAAAAATTCAAAGCACAAGCTAAGCCTTCAACACCGCCGTGTCCACAAGGTTAAATTTTCTTTAAGAAGAGGTGAAGAGAAATTAGAAGTTACAAAAGTTGAATAAAACCTATTCTCTCCATATGTGCAAAACAAAGGCAAGGTAAAAGGGTAGAAAAGGTATTAGGCTACTCGCTGCCATTTCAATGGTCAAAACAAGAGGACCAAGATGGCTAGAAGACTACTATGTATTGTTTTCAGGCTTTACCTGAGACGATATTGAGACACGTACATTTGGTAACGAGATCAGACTTTTCTGGTTTCCGCTGCAAGAAACCCCATCTGTTCTGTAAGGTGTTCCATATGCTGAGCATCCACTTTTATGATCTGCCTAAGCATTGCATTGGCTGCCTCATTCATCAAAGGCTGGTACTTAACAATCTGTCTATCCATAGGGCCGAGATGGTCATCTGAAACACTTTCCTGCTTAAGCCTCCGCTTTTTGTTCCCTTCGGTTATGCGCTTGCTGCTCTCATTCTGCTGCTGTAAAAACTGTGCCAAAAAACCAGGGCTATTCACAGCCTTCGCCAGGAATGACATCATCTGTTGCCGCTGTTCCATCCCCTGAAGTTGCTGCACCATTGTGTGCAGCTGACTATCAGTGGACTGCTGCTGCTGTCTCAACCTGACAAGCTCCTGCATAAGCACATTCTTGTCCCTTTTTAGCTGCTCAACCTCTTCCTCAAGCAACCGATGAACTCTGTCCAAGTGGTTGCTGAGGCTGTTGATCAAGTCCACTGACAGGTTTTCGGCGACTAATACTACTAAGCAGGTGCTTCTGACCTCTTAAGAATCCCTCATTTGCAAACTCCCAGCGATCTGTATCAACCTTCCTGAATCCCTGTTCGCCCGCAATTACCCCACAAAGGAGGACAACAATGCAATTGGATAACAAGATTTTAACCAAATAAACATTACTATGCGCAGCAAAAATTCAGGAATAACCACAATCAAACAAAAGAAAAAATAGTCGATTNAAAGCAAACATTTATCCAGAACAAAACATCAAAGTCGAAAAAAAAAATTCAAAGCACAAGCTAAGCCTTCAACACCGCCGTGTCCACAAGGTTAAATTTTCTTTAAGAAGAGGTGAAGAGAAATTAGAAGTTACAAAAGTTGAATAAAACCTATTCTCTCCATATGTGCAAAACAAAGGCAAGGTAAAAGGGTAGAAAAGGTATTAGGCTACTCGCTGCCATTTCAATGGTCAAAACAAGAGGACCAAGATGGCTAGAAGACTACTATGTATTGTTTTCAGGCTTTACCTGAGACGATATTGAGACACGTACATTTGGTAACGAGATCAGACTTTTCTGGTTTCCGCTGCAAGAAACCCCATCTGTTCTGTAAGGTGTTCCATATGCTGAGCATCCACTTTTATGATCTGCCTAAGCATTGCATTGGCTGCCTCATTCATCAAAGGCTGGTACTTAACAATCTGTCTATCCATAGGGCCGAGATGGTCATCTGAAACACTTTCCTGCTTAAGCCTCCGCTTTTTGTTCCCTTCGGTTATGCGCTTGCTGCTCTCATTCTGCTGCTGTAAAAACTGTGCCAAAAAACCAGGGCTATTCACAGCCTTCGCCAGGAATGACATCATCTGTTGCCGCTGTTCCATCCCCTGAAGTTGCTGCACCATTGTGTGCAGCTGACTATCAGTGGACTGCTGCTGCTGTCTCAACCTGACAAGCTCCTGCATAAGCACATTCTTGTCCCTTTTTAGCTGCTCAACCTCTTCCTCAAGCAACCGATGAACTCTGTCCAAGTGGTTGCTGAGGCTGTTGATCAAGTCCACTGACAGGTTTTCGGCGACTAATACTACTAAGCAGGTGCTTCTGACCTCTTAAGAATCCCTCATTTGCAAACTCCCAGCGATCTGTATCAACCTTCCTGAATCCCTGTTCGCCCGCAATTACCCCACAAAGGAGGACAACAATGCAATTGGATAACAAGATTTTAACCAAATAAACATTACTATGCGCAGCAAAAATTCAGGAATAACCACAATCAAACAAAAGAAAAAATAGTCGATTATTTGGTTTAAGAATAATTTTGAACATTTGGTTCACCCAACCAACAATAATTTCACATAGTCGTGCTGGACAGATGAGGCGCATACGTGTCCTAAGTTGGCTCTATCAGAACTGAAGAGAGAAAAACTTGTTTCAAACTTTAATATCCTGTATTTTGAAAATTTCAATATTTTCTTCACCCTAAATTTTCTAACAAAGCGCTGCCCTTTGACAATACCCATACACGCACCTACTACTGTTGTTATTACTATTATTATCGTTACCATCAACAACATTATTATTTATGAACAAAATTCAGAAGTGCGCCAAGAGACCCATGACAAAAGAAAACACCTACAAATGGTAAGGAAACATGTACAGCCGAAAATAAGTACAATTAGAGGTTTAGATCCCATCTCTCCCAATGCAATGTCAGCTTTATAGAAAGCCCAAAGATCACCATGTTAGCAAAGTAATCACAATTCACAAGCATTCACTTGCTTCAACACTGCATGCATGCTCCCCCTTCCCCGAAAAGAATACTTGGGCTGACAACATTGAAGATATTGGTCAAAATCTGAGAACACTATCCTCACAAAGAATTGATCGAACATCTAAATAAATGGTCATAAAACAACTTACACTAGAACACAGTTATTTTTTAACAAAGAAGTATCTAGAAAACTAGAACCACCAATGACCCCTATGCAATTTTGTAACACTTGAAGTCTAACATGAAAAAATATCTTACATTTAGCTAACCAATGGATAAATAAAACTCTTACCTGTCTGGCATTGTTGAGTACTTAAACATGGTTTTCTACAAGATTTCATATTACAACTAAAAGAACAAGAAAGTACAACCGTAATTTTCCACATAACAATCAGTCTGCCTCTTGCTTTGTATGGTTCCAATATTTTCCTTCTACCCCTTGATCTTCTTTTTTGACAATGAAATAAAAATCAGTTTCTTAGCCCTATATTTACACAAAAAAAAATCACAACTCATTTAAGCAGAACAATAAATGTTTTATGCTGAGTTGCATTACATGAGATATTCACTTGCAGATGTACATATTAAAAAAAAAAAAAAACACCTTAAGGTCCAAAAATATTGTACTCTGTAACCGTCTGACTCTCCAGGTCTTGATAGGTGTGAGTATTTGTTTCTCCTATTTTTCTTTTCCATTTATCTAGATCTGTACCCTTTTTAAACATACCCCCCCCCCCCCCCCCCCCCCCCCCCCCCCCCCCCCCCCCCCCTTTTTTTTTTTTTTTTGGG